TTTCCTTATCCCTCTCTCCTTCCCCTGGCGCCTAACCCATCAAAATGATCATAATGATGAGCAGAATACGTAGGAAATAAGAGAAAAATAGTATAATTTATTGTTTATCTTGTTTTATTTCTTCTTTTAATTTATTAACAATTGCAGCTAATGGAGGAGAATGAAGATATGAATGTCCTTTCTTAAAATTTGGCGACGGAGATGAAAAATTTCGTCGCAAAAAATTCAACTCTGAATAGTAGTGTGCCTCTACTACACGACCACCAAATTTACGACCATTTAATGCCTATAAACACATAAATAAACATTTATTATACTTATTTTATTCTTTATTATTATTATTTTATATTATTATTGCGTTTATTGAGCTTATTTTGGTGTATTAATGATGTTATTAGTGCAGCTACTATATGACCACCAAATTTACGACCATTTAATGCACATAAACATAATAAATAATAATTATATTATAATAATAAAATAATAATAAAATAAATAAACAAAATATAAATATAATATAATTAGTATTTATTTTATTGTTGTTGCTGTTGGTTTAATGGTGTGATGGGTGATAAGAATAGTGACGATCATGAAACATAAGTAAGAAGAAGAGGAAAAAGAAAGAAAAAAGAAACAAAATAAGAAGAAAATTGCATGTAAAATAAGTAAATAAATAGTAATAAATATAAAATATATAAAATAAAATAAAATAAATAAATAAAAAAGGAAGAAGAAATACCTTTCTTGCATTAGCAGAAGCCTCGCAATCAACAAATGCAACATATGCATATCCAATCATAGGAGGTAAAACTTTTGTCTTTCCTTCTATAGCATTTAATACCATTTCTTCTGTGACTATTTCCTCATCATCATCATTATTATTATTATTATTATTATTATTGCTGTTAGTGTTGCTGCTGCTGCTTCCTGGTGATTCCCCTTTTACCCCTGCACCATTCTTATTACTGCTGCTACTACCATCTGCTGTTGTTGTATCTCCCTCCGTTGTTTCCCTCTTAACCTGTCTAATTGTATTTCCTCCTTCTCCTCCTTCTCCTCCTCCTCCTCCTTCTTCTTCCTTTATATCCTCATCATGTATATGACGAGGATCTAGACAAGGATCCTTACATAAACGAGGAACTTGTACATCAACAACATGACCACCACATTCTTCGCACTCTAATCTAATATCCTCTACTATCTCTGCGTATTCATCATCATCCTCTAGCTGTATATAAGAAAAACAAACAAATAAATATATATTTTATTATTATTCTATTTATTTAATTAATTATATCCTTAAATATATACATTTTATGCTCATTATTATATATTTATATATATAATACATGTGCACAAGTTATACAACAGATGCATACATGTATACATGCATTTCTCCCTGTTCCCTTCCCCCTCTCTCCCTTTATCCCTTTATTATACTAAAATAAATAATAAAATATATTATAATTAAATAATATTAATAATATAATTAATAAAAAGAAGAAGAATAAGAAGAATAAGAATAAGACTTACATCTTGTGGCGTGACGATATTATGAAGAACTAGTACTCTTGTACATACTTGTGTCCTTAATAGAGGAGGTGCAGCATTAGATCCAACAATAGATATTTTATCCTTTAAATAAGAAGAGACAGCCCCTTCATTTATTGCATGCTCTGCTGTTACTACTCTATAAGGAGAATTTGTATGCAATATCTCCATTGCTTGCTGCTGTGAATCCGCATCTATATACTCTATTACGCATACTAACTGCAGAAAAAAAAAAAAAAGAAACAAAAATAAATAAATAAAAATAATTAAATTACTTATTAATATCTATTTTATCTTATTTTAGTTTACTTTATTAAGAAAGAAAAGAGAAGAAAAAAAAAGAAAGAGAAGAGGAAAAAAAGTTGAACAGGAAGGAAACAAAACATGAAATTTGAATAATTATTTACATTTATATATTTATATTTATATATTTATACTTATATATTTATTATTTATTATTTATATTTATTATTTATATTTATTATTTATATTTATTATTTATTATTTACCTGTGAATCATCAGTATCCTTCCTTAATATATCAAAGGATTTAAGAGGACCAAATGTCTCAACAAGTTGACGGATCTAAACAAGAAAAAAAAACAAACATATTTATTTATTTATTTATTTATTTATTATTTATTTATTTATTTATTTATTTGTTTATCTATTTTATTTATTTATTATGCAATAAAACGAAAAGAGAGGCATATAATAATAAAAAAAGTACAACAACAAGGCAACATAAAAGAAAGCAAAAGAACCTGCAAAAGAGATAGAGGGGGAGAGAGGAAAATAAATAAATAAATAAATAAAGCAGCAGAGGCAGCAGCAGAAGAAGAAGAAACAGCTGAAACAGCTGAAGCAGCAGAAGCAGCATAAGCAGCAAAAGCAGCAGTTCAGCTCTCTGCAGGCAAGGGAACAAAGACAACAAAGACTAGGAGAATAAATAAATGCTCAATATACACATTTATATTATATATTATATAATGTATACATTATATATACTATATATATTTATTTTCTTAAGAAAAAAAGAATAAAAATAAATAAAAAAGACTAACCTTCTCCTCCGCCATTGTTGGTGGCAAACCCAACACACATAACTTGTCCGTTTGTGGCGGACCTGCAAAACAGCAGCAGCAGCAGCAGCAGCAAGCAGCAGCAAGTAGCAAAAATACACGTACATATACATATACAAATCCATATTCTATTTATCCGCCTATATATATATCTTCATTCCTCATTAGGGTTTAGGGTTTAGGGTTTAGGGTTTAGGGTTTAGAGTTGATAATTTGTGCTTACCATCATTACCATTAGTAGCCCTTGCTGCTGCCTGTGCAGCCTCTAATGCAGCCTTAGGATTAACAGCAACAGTAGGTAATTCAGTATTAATAAGAGATTGTTGTTGTTGTTGTATTTGATGAACAATAGCATTAGCAACAGCAGCAGCAGGATTAAGCATAGGTATAGTAGGAGGAGGAACAATATGTTGTAACTCCATAGGATAAGTCTTAGGTCTACCTATACGTAAATTAAATCCAAGACAGCTAAGTCCATTTAATTGCATAGCATTTGATGCCTCCTCCATAGTTCGAAATTCAACAAATGCGTAGTGCCCGTCGCTGCTCCTCCAGGCCTTAATTGCTGGTGGGCCGGGAAGAATTCCACCGCCTACCGCACTCATAGCTGCATTCAAGAATTCTAAGAGTTGTGGTACTTCTACGTTAGGGGGAAGATTTCCTATATATAATTCTCTTGCTGCTTTTGTTGCTGCTGGATCTAATTGTAATAAACCTGTTGTTGCTGTTGTTGCTCCTCCTGGTGCACCTGCTGCAGCTGCTGCAGCTGCTGCAGCTGCAGCTGCTGCTGCTGGTGTACCTGCTGCACCTGCACCTGCACCTAATGCTATTCCTCCTCCACCTAATGATAATGCACCTAAACCTGGTACAGCACCAGGAGTTCCTCCTGCTGCTAATCCTGCACCTGCTGCTAATGCTGCAGTACCTGCTGTTGCTGCTGCTGCACCACCTAATACACCACTTAATGCTGCTGCTGCACCCGGTACAGATGCAAATGCTGCTGCTGCACTTGCTGCTGCTGCTGCTGCTGCACCACCTAATGCATCTTCACCTTCATCCATACGAGGAGGTGAATCAAATCTATATGCTTTACGACCCTCAGAACGCCATGTACTACGACGAAATGGAGGACCGCGATCCCGATCCCGATCCCGATCACGATCACGATCACGATCACGATCACGACTACGCGAACGACGACTAAATGGAGGACCGTCACGACGGAAACGATCCATACTACGACGTTCTCTTTCTCTCTCTCTTTCTCTCTCTCTTTCTCTCTCTCTTTCCCTCTCTCTCTCCCTCTCCCTCTCACGTTGCTTCTCCCTCTCTCTATCTCTATCTCTTTCTCTTTCTCTATCTCTTTCTCTATCACGCTGTTGTCTTTCCCTCTCTTTGTCTCTCATTCTATCACGTTCTTTATCTCTTTCTCTTTCTCTTTCTTTCTCTCTTTCTCTTTCCCTATCCCTATCTCCTCTATCTCTATCCCTATCCCTGTCTCTATCTCTGTCTCTATCTCTGTCTCTTTCTCTGTCTCTATCCCTATCTCTTTCTCTATCTCTGTCTCTGTCTCTATCTCTATCTCTGTCTCTATCACGATCCTTTCCATCCTTCTCGTTATGTTTAGCCCCCTCCCTCTCTCTCCCCCTCCTATCGTCCCTCGCCATTCTCCTCTTCCTTCTTCACCTCCTATTATATATTTTATCTTCTCCTCTTAAACAATTACTTATACAGACGGCAAATTAACGAAAACTCTACTCCAATTAGAAGATCCATTCATATACATATATATACACGACATATACCTACTATGTAGGATGGATGATGATCTGCTGCTGCCGCTGCCACTGCTGCTGCTGCTGCTGTTATTGTTATCCAACCAAACAATTAATTAAACAGTCTGTCTATACACCTCAGAGAACGCCTCCTTCCTTTCTGCTGCTTCAGCTCCAGCGGGAATAGGCGCCACCCGCCGCGACAGATGTCACGCCATATGCATGCATGCATGCACGGCTGCATGCATGCATGCATGCACACAAGTGCAAGGCTCGTGTAACCCCCCAAACAGCGGCAACAAATCCAAAATGAAGAAAGCCAAAACACCAAGCTGTCCGTCCATACACTTCACCACTACTGCAGCTTCTTATCAAGGGGAAAAGCAGAAAGCTGCGCCCGCCGACGTCCTCCGACGCCCCACGAAGAAGATTGGGGTAACTGGGGAAAGCGATATAAAAAATTAAAGAAAATGAATAATAAACAAAGATGATTCAACGCAAAAAGCGACAGATCAAGCACAAAAGCTCTAGGCAATCACCAGCATGCACTGCACGCAGCCGCGAGGAAGCGAAACTCCCAGGCCTTGTCTGCCTATGGCCGTTGTTTTTTGCACTTCTTCGGGTATTTTTATTTTGCCTAAAAGAAAAAAGACAGGTGAAACGCAAAACAAACAAACTCCGAAAACATGAAAGTGCAAAGAGCCACCATGGGGCTGTGGGCTGCTCCCTCCAGCTGCAGCTCTAGTACATGCGTAGTATACGTAGAACAGTACTAGGGGGAGTCGTCAAAATTTAACAAATTTCCTTCTTTAGACGAATTAATCAAATAAGAACACTTCGTCTTTATTTCCTACCTTCTTTCGGGGTCCATCTGAACCCCCGAGTAACAGCAAAACCACTTACAAGAAACCCGTGTATATGCATACCTACAGCTGTATCGCAGCGTATGTCTATAGTGGGTATATACATTTCTGCTCGTGTACAAGTAGATTAGTGAGGCACAAGGAAGTGTCTAGCCATTTTCTATGGTGTTGGTGCGTTCGGGCTTGGGTAGGTTTGTTTTGCGTGTTGCCCTTCACCTGTAATTGCAGCAAAGAGTGGTACAGAGTGCTGCACCTCACAAAAGGCCGATCCCCCCCTCCAAACCAGCAAATGGTCTATGCTTTGGTCTGTATAGATAAAAGAGGGGATATCAGTGCTCCTGATGACATCTTATCTAACAATTTGGCTCCACCGCAGCTCACAGTGGTGGATCTAGCGAGACACAGCACCTTCGATTGTACCTCGTTGCACTACATGTTTAATCAAGGTAGGCTAAATGGCAAGAAGTGAACAGTAGTGAGGGCTCTTTGTAATGAAAGTGAAGTTAATATATCTACGAGACGTCCCCAAAATTCAAATGCCAGTGAGAGACGAGGCTACTTCTTGGGGATTCCCATTGCGGATGTTTTGCAACATTCCCTGTGAGGTAGGTATGTCGCCAACTAGGAAAGGGAACGGAGTGCAACGGAATCAAGGAAAGTCAAATATGGGAAGTCAGCGGTAGAGCGGTTTCTTAGGTGACCGGCATCACAGTGCGTGAGCTTCATTTTTTGTTACACACCAGACATCACAATGTCTGAAGTCCTCATTCAGTGTTTCATACCAGGCACAAATGAGGTTTCCAGATGAGCGTATTCGAGTGTCTGCTCCCAACAAAATGGTAGAGCAAACCTCTCGTCGTTCCAAGCATCATTCGTTACTTCCATGGTAGAACGACCGGAAACGGAATCCCAAGGAGAAATTGATCCAAAAATTCTTACTCATTGCATTGCAGGAAAACGTGAAGTGCATGCACGCCACAATGACGGTATCACGAGCGCCAAATATGCAGGACGCGATCCAATCACACCAGAGGAACATCAGACATGGGCACAAATGTCGAAACAGTTCCTCGGTGTAGTCAATAACCAGGAACTACCGAATGAGGGGCCACCTGGTGGACTTTTAATACAGTCGGCCAAAGGTACAGGAGACCCCAGCAATCTTGATGAGGAAAGGGGAAAACAGACAATTATGAGAAGAAAAGCCGGCCCTTTACACTCTACTGGCTCAAAATGGCACAATCCTGCGTTGGCGATGGAAAATAATGGGAACTGGGTGCTAGAGGGTTAAATTCATGGCGGACGTACCTGTTTTTAGCCAATTCTGCAGTGACTCTTGCAGGTCAGATTGCAAGGTTTGTCTCAACTCATGAAAATCAGCTCCGTTTGGAGGTGATATAACATGGATTCTATCCGACGACTATTGTGAGCAGCCGTTGCGCCAAAATACTTAAGAGTTCCTTAAAAGCAGCTTATCTCCATCAGCAGTCTCCAGGCCTCCCGAGTTCATCGGCTCAAGCACCTGGAACTGCGGGATATGAGATGGCATGCCATGGGTTGCGACGCACATTGCTGCATTTAAAGGTGCAAGACAGACCAAGACAAGCCTACTTGGTAGTATGTACTGATATTGCAGACAGTTGTTGAGAAGTTTACGCTAGCGTGCCGTTTGTCTACTGGGGCCTGGTAAGGGCTCATACGCCAGCACACACAGACCTGCCAACGCCGGACAGAGCATGCTACGGAAAACGCCTCTGGATTATGGTGTCGCCTAGAGACGGAATGATATGTTGCTCTTATCTGCCTGAAGAAAGGCATTACATGTATTTTCTTTCATTGTACTGCAGTTCCCAAAGGCCCTCTCCTTCGGCTGAGGATTCTGGCTTCTCTTTCACGTGTCCCTCGCTAGCCCACGCACAAGCAGAAAAACAGAAGGTAGTTGCAAACGTACCATAAACAACTAAATCAAGTAGTATAAACTACAAAATACATCATAAGAGGCAAAAACACAGTATGAACAAGCATACCAACTAATCATTGGTTATCGACCACACACTGGTTGCGTGGTTATTCGCAGTTTTGCCAGTAGAAAAGCCTCTAGCTGATAGCGAAGCATGCACATGTCAACTCGGGTTGTGTTTGCAGCCCCATCTGAAACAAATGCTGACCATTTCAATTAATTTTTCTAATAAAATAACAACGTAAACTTTCTAGGGAACGGATGCTGCGGCGGCGCCCAGCGGTCGCTGGGGAATGCATGCGTGGAAGACCTGTAGCAGCTGACCCAGGCGCAGCAGCCTCAAGCGTCTTTCGTTAGCAGTATACTCCAATTAAATTTGTTTTTCGTTCGTTTTATAAATTATAAATAGCAAGGAAGCATTCACCGAGCCCTACGGGGCTCTGCCGGCTCCGCCGGTTTCTCGCCGACAGCTGAATTGTTTAAACTGGAGCAATTTTGTTTGGTTTTTCTCTTCTCAAAGCAGAAATCTTTGACCAGACACTGTTTAAGCTCATTTGGGAGACAAACTATGAACTTTCCATTGTAATGACTATGCATTTCTCCCGTGTATGCCTCCTCCTGCTGCTCGCGGGCGTCTTGGGCATCGACAGCACCAGCTTCATTGTAGCAGCTTCTGCTGAATTTCAAGGCAAAATTCATGATTGCGCTGCAACTCAAAATTGTCAAAGTCAGCGGAGGCCCTATATAGGCCATATGCCTTGTTCCATATTAGGTGTCTGGCCCTCAGTGCCGACAAACGACAGCAGCAAGACGAGCAGAACTGCAACCCCTGCACGTTTTCTCTCTTTTGTTCGTGCAAAATCTCCTCATTGCATTAGGTATGGCTGGTGTTTGTATTTAATGCATCGAGCAACACTCAATGTCCCAAGTCATTTCAATTATCTATCCACATCTGCAGCATGCATTAATAATATTCGTGTGTAACGACGTCACTACGACTGTTGAAAACTGCATATTCTTTGTGCATGTTTGCCATTATGACCTTCAAATCCGTCTATTTCGCGCGTGCTCCATCCGGTTCGTGTTACCTCTGAAACGAGCATTTTGTTGCAGTTTGTGTCGCGAAACTGTGTCTTTTTTTTTTATACCCACTTGTTGACGTAATTATTCGTGACTTTTAAATTGCCCTTTTTCTGCGTTTCTTTCTTGCAGTCTTACCCCCACGAAATCTTCTCTGTTGCTCTCCAGTTCTTCTCTATATGCGACATCACGAGGCGGTGCCGCAACAAAAAACAACAGGGACTCTGGGCCAAAGCATTTGGGCAAGTTCTTTGCGTTTGTGTGTTCATCTGTTTGTTGACTTCTCCCATCGTGCTTGTTTTGTTTCTTAGCATCATTATGCATTTTGATGCTTCATCCACCTGCTGACTGCTGAAGTAGCAGATGACTTGTGCTGTTTGTCTTTTCATCGTTTTGCGTCTCCTTGCTTGATAATTGAGACAATTACGCAAACAATCTTGTGTGTTCGCTTCATGTTTTAATTGATGCAAGAGAAACCCTTCTTTTGCAGTGTACAACAAATTAGGCATTTGTTTTGTGTGTGATGCAACAAAGAACAAGTAGTAGAAGTGCAGTAGCTATATCTTAATGGATTCGTTCATCAAGAAGTTTTCTGCTACGACATTTTCCACGCCTTCATCTGCTTCCCTCAAAGCGTACACTGTTGTTTGCCATGCACTTTCTCAATATGCCCTGCTTATTCAGACTACTTATTCCATTTTTATCCATCTATTTTTACGTATTCTCAATACGATTTGCAGGAGTAAAGAAGACTGGGGGGGAATTTGTCTTAAGCGGAAATATTCTCATTCGCCAGCGCGGCACTCCCTTTAAACCGGGCGAAGGTTCGACATCAGCTAATATATGTGCTGTTTGTTTTCTAATTGATGTCATTGTTATGTTTTTATTCTATTTGTTGCTTGCGGGAGATTTGTGGCAATGTTGGTCAGATTTGCCTCTGAAACGGTCATGCTGTCTTCCGGAGCAACAACCACCACTATTACTTTTGGTTTGTTAGTGTTTATTTGCCCGTCTGTCCTAATTGGTTTCCTTCTGCTCTGAATGTACTTGCATTGGTTTATTTTTATGTATGCATCCATTGTTTTTGTTGTTATTTGCACGTTGTCAGTATAGTTATGTTGACAACCTATTCGTGTGTAGTGTCACTAACATCTGAGATTGTTCTCATCGGTTCTAAATATTCTCTGCGTGCCCTTTATTTGCTTTTATGCTCATTCAAGCGAACCTGCACTTCTTTCATTATTTTGCCTTATTGTACGTAATACTATCATATATCGAGTTGTTTGCATGTATGCTTCTGCAGGCGTGTACTTGTGGGCATATGCGCAGTTGTAAATTTGCTAGTGCTTGTGTACGTATGTATATTTTGCATGTTTTTCTTTATCTGTCCCTCCACATTGTATGCTGCAGCTGTTGTGTGCTGTCGTGTTTTGTCTAGGAGTTATTCGGACAGGAGACGACACCTTAGTGGCGAAAACTGCGGGCTATGTTTGTATGCGACAAACCTACAGCAGCACCACCAGGGGCAGCGGCGGCAGGCTGCGCGTCAGCCCCTGCAGCAGCAGAGGTCGTCGCGTGAAGGCGGCTTGTATCGTGTCAATAAAACCTTCCTTAGAAGAGACGCGGAATGAAAAGGCAGAGAAAGTTGGTCTGCTCAGGACTCTCGCACGCACCTGGATGCAAGAGGAAAACCCCAACGCTCTGTTGCCACCCATTAACACAGCAGAGAAAGATGATTCGTAATACTTCACCTTTTTACATCCTTTTCACCTACTTCTGGCGTCACAACATCGGTTGATCCCGTCTACCGTCGTTCTTACTTCATATGCATTCTTATTTGCCCTGTGTTGTACGCTGCTTTATTTAGCTTTACAATCTGACTCCAAGAATCGCCGTAAACACTAAACCACAAAATCATTCTAAACTCATTCTTTACCCTAAGTTATAAACTCTGAGCACTCTGTCAACGCGGCGGCAGATATCCTTTAGCATTAACTGCCTCCAGCGAGCAAACTTTGATTTGTATTCTTTCCGAGCACGAGCTCAATGGACCTCTTCACTTGCTTTTGCATTTGTCGGCTGTTTTGCTGGCTTCTACACTTGCTTATTTGCCAGTCGGTCGACACCACCTCAGGCAGAAGCCGCACAAGCACGCAGTTATATCTTCACGCGAACATGTGTATACATAAATATATATGCGTACGCATGCATGTACACTTGCAGACGATATGCATACAGATGTATATATTTATGTATATATGCATATATAGACAGGACGGGCTAATTTTGCCTGTGTATCTCTCCGCACTCAATTCGTTTCTTCAAACCGAACTCCAGGTACTTGATTGGGCCTCCCCCCATTTTCTGTGTATATTAGATTACAAACACTTTCTACATAAGGTATGCATGCACATATGTACATGTATCTATGCACGCATATACGTGCATAAGAATGCACAGATTTCTAGGATATATACTTCTGTACATAAACTAGCGAATTGCGGCAATACGTTCTTCAACACACTACACTCGCACGCAACTGCAACCGGAGAACTCATGAAGGGGTAAATTTAAAACGGCGTCTTAACCTGTTGGAGCTGCATGCGCTGCAAAGGTCAGCGGAAAGCAGCCAAGTATGCTGCTGCGTCTGCAGCAATCTGCAGATGCGGCGGAGGGCAACTGAAGGAAGAAACAAAAGTGGAGAGAGGCAAAGCTACGACCAGAGATAGAGACATACATTTATGGTGTCCGTACACCTCAACACAAAAGACCACAAAAAGTGCTCTTGGTAGCCATTGTTGTCTTTGTACTCCTGACGGGTCGATGACCTTGATCACAATTGTTATAGAGGGACTGTCGTATACATTTCATTTCACGAGGGCGTAATATATATATGTATAATATGTATGTACTGTACGTATACATGCATGCACATTCAACATGCATGTTAAAATCGCATTTAAGCGTATACTAGGCCATGCTTTTATTTGCACAACTCTACATTTGCATTTGTATGGGTATCAAGGTGTGCAAATGGAAACAAAAAAGGACAGAGATGAGACAGCTCCTCTAGAGATGAGACAGCTCCTCTTTAGCGCCACCTCCTCTTCGGCATTAAGCGGACCTGCATTTGGTACTGTCTTCCTCTTATCGTTATTATTGTTCTCTTCATGTCATGTTTGTTTTGCGCGTGTTTTGCGTACAAGCGTATATAACCTCGTATATTTCCGTTTAGTGAACTTGTCTTTGGAATCACGTTATGTTCTTAACTGTTGGGTTCTTCCTGTGTACATTGTTCCTTTTCTCTCTTCATTATACCTGCCACTTCGGTTGTTGTTTTTATGTTTATTGCTGTTGTTACTTGGGAGTGTGTCTGCAGCTCGATTGCCCCTTATCTCTTACTGACAGTTTTGTGTGCACCTACTTTAATTGTGCGACATTTGCAACCAACGAAGCACGCAGAAACCGAAGAATAAGCAGAAAGCGCCAGAGCAACAGCAGCACCCCCACTAGGAAGATCGGACGAACTTGGAACAGCATCCACAGCGACAACAAGACCGAGCGCATGGATACACACGTACAAGGAGAAACTGTGATGTTTCTTCGCGTTGTCTCGCTACACGCTGCATTGGGTTGACTTGAATCCCTCGACTTACTCAACCTTGAAACCATTCTTCAGGAACATACACAATTCTTTCCAGCGTAAAGCCTTGGTCGTGCACGCACTTGATGAATTCGGCGCGTTTGCTGCGGACTAGAGAGGGCAGGCATTTGCTCTGGACGTGGTTGATGCTGACGGGGGCCTCATGCAGCAGGAATTGCGGCATTCGAGGCAACTGCGTTACAATGTACTCTTCTGTGCTTTCGCGCAACCTCCCTTCGTGCCATAGACACGAATATAAGTCCCTCAACACCGACAAACATGCGGGGTATGGGGGCGTTCTACACTTACGACTCCGCATATCACAAAACCCAAAACCCCCCACTCCCCAGCACTCTCTGTCGGTCACGCAGCTCCTCTTGTCCAGCTCTATGCATCTCCCTGAAAACTTGCGGAACGTCCTTACAATGTCTCTGCCTAGGTTGTTCGCATACGGGTTGGGAGCTTCGAGGGGCGACGGCAATGCCAGCTGGGGAGGCCCGCCGATGCTCCCGCCGCCTACTGAAGTCCCTCCAGGGGCCCCGTACTCAAAGCGCTGCCAAGGCGCGCACACACTATCAAGGTCGACGTTGTCTGTCAAGAGGATCGGATCTCCAGCGGAGGCGTACCTTGAAGTGAACCATGGGCTGCACTGCCCGTTTATGCACGATAGCCGATCTTCGCATTCTCTTTCGCTGTCTCCCACACAGGCAGCGCCTTCGCGTTTTCGCAGCTGACAGCCTTGAGATGCATGTAAAAAGGAGCAGTAGTGATGCTGAGGCGAACAAACAAGCCACAGAACCTACAGTTACAAACATGCAAGCACGTAGGGAAAACAGCTGAGGAACGGCACACATACGTGACAATCGCGTAAGTACTCAAAGGCACATGCAACCCATCTATAAACTGAAACGAACCGAAAACTGTAGTGGTTAGATAAACTCAAGCGTTTAGCCGAGTGGCACTGCAGCAACATGAATGCGCTTTGGAAGGACGACAAGCTCAAGTGGCCGGAAGGAGGAAATTTGATGAACTTGGAGACATAAAGAAAGCATGGAAAAGACATAAATACAATCAACATGCAGAAATTGCCCAACATCAATTCTTGCGCTGCTTTCGTTTCCTTTCCACGTCCTCGTTGAGATTTGGATTGGGGGTGTTGCACGGTTTGATAGTCGGAAATTGATTACAGAATATAATAGGCAGTAGGCTTACAGAGGCACAACAGCGGTCAATCCAGCAGCCCCCCTTATAATCTGTAGGAAAACGACCCGGGAGAGGCCCCAGGATCGGCACTCCAGTAGTGGCCAGCGACGCGGGACCTAACAGAGAAGGCTGAAGCCCCGGTTGTAGCGGTAGTGGCGGCAGGGCCCCTCCCCCCAAAGCACCAGCAGGACCCAAAGCTGGCGTGCTTCCGAGTGCACCCAAAGGCACAGCGCTGAGGGGAGGCAAAGGAGCAACAGCAGCGCCGGCCCCCGCTAGGGGAGCCCCCATGGGGAGCCGCGTTGGAAGGGCAGGCTGCCGCATGTTTAGAGCAGGAGAGGTGGACAAGGGAGGAGGAAGGGGCCCTGAAGGCCTCTTTCCAGCAAGCGAAAATGGCTTGAGGGACGGATTCCCTAGCCCAGGAAACACCAACCCCTGAATCGGTTCTCCTTCTTCTTCAGCAAGGGTTCCTTCTGTTTGTGTTACTGCTCCTGTGGGACTCGGCGATTTCGCTGCTTCTGCCGCCTCCATTGCCTCCAATGAAGAGTCAAATGGAGATGAACCCTGTTGCTGCTGTTGCAGCAGCAGCTGCTGTAGCTGCTGAAGTTGCTGCGGAGCCACCTGCTGCTCCGCTTCCTGCCCTGGCAAAGCATTGGCGAGGCCTGTGGGTAAAAGCAGGTTCTGGGGGCTCCCGCCACCACCAGCAGCGCCAGCAGCAGCAGAAGCAGCAGGCGATACACCGGCAATGTGTGCAGGAGTAGAACCAGCAGGTGAGTGGGGAGGCAGGTGGGGTGGCAAGGCAGAGGGGAATCCGTGCATGGGAGGCCCCCACGTCGGGAAGCCTCTATCGTTTCCTTCTGGTGAGAAGGCGAAGGAAACGCCAGTAAAGAGACGCGCTAACCTCTTGGCTAGCGATCCATTCAGCAGTGGGCGCTGCTGCGACCCTGCTGCTGCTGCTGCTGGGGCCAGTTGCTGCTCTGCCAAGCCGGTGTTCCCGTAACTCCAGGGAGCCTGCTGTCCCTGCAGGTGCTGGTCAATATCACTCGGATTTGCTTTCCTTGTTTCTAGCGGCTCACCATCTTTGTCACGAGGCACAGAAAAAAACAGGGACAAATCTGCTGCCGTCACCGGCTCGCCAAGCAACGCGGATGCCTCAGCTGCCCGCTGTTCCCAGGCTGCCCGCACAGTTGCCTCGTCAAGAGGCCCATGCTGCTGCTGCTGCTGGTTTTGAAGTTGCCTCTGGAAGTGAAGGAAGGACTGGTTTACGTCATGTTGATTTCCGGCGTTTGTTACAGTAGGGTGAGTGGAGTTGCTGCTGGCTTGCTGCAGTTGGTGAAGCCTTCGGGCGTCCACTGCATGTGTATGCTGAGAGGTACTAGTGAGTTGCTGCTGTTGCGGTTGCTGTTGGTCGGCGCTGAAGCCATTGACGGCGAGAGGGAGCATGAGTTCTTGCTGTTGCTCCAACAGCGTCTGCTGCTGCTGTAGAGGGGAGGAGACCGGTTTGCAGACACCCTGCACGCACTGGAGGCAGTCTGAGACACAGTGTCTGAAGCGGTCGCATGAAGCCCCAGGCGGCAGATCTTTGACGATGCAGTAGCGCGACAGAGAATGACGGCCCCCTAGCGGCTCCCCTTCGACTGTCTGCGTTGCTGCGTAGCCGCAGATGCCGGACTCACACATAAACGCATTCTGTTCAGTGCAGCTGCCGCCCACGCTGATCAGCCTCCTGCATATTTTGAGAAAAGGGTCGCATGCCAACCCGGGTGAGCACAAATGTACTGAAGCCCCGCAGCTCTTGCCTTCGCCTTCGCTCCACGGCATGCGGCAGTAGCCTACAACACAGCAAACTTACCCACAATTTTAAATATGTGCTGCACCTGGTACAGTCTACTGCTGCTCCAGGAGCATTAGATGCTGCAGCACGCAGCTCCCACCCTAAAGCCAATTGCATGCAGCATTGCAACAACCACTGGCACCACACAAAACCCCTCCAGTATAACTGGGGGAAAAATCTACCATGGATTGCATTTAAACATTATGCACCGCCGCACGTTGCAAGCAAACCTCCTTTGCTCGCCCTATTTCTTTCTCTGTGCCTGAATTCTATCTTTCTCCCTCCCTGCGTGGATACATATACAGCAAGACCACTGGCTGCAAAGAAAACAGCATTTCACCGAATATGCCTTGGCGTGCGACAACAACAACAACAACAACAACAACAACAACAATAACAACAACACCAACACCACCCACAAGCCGAAGCGCCTCATGCCGAGGATATAAACAAACCTATACACAAACAACACACAACTAAAAGGGATGCATTTAGAGCTCAGAGTTGGCAGCTTCCTCACACAATAACAACCGACAATCTAGAGTGTAAATCGTCCACAATTGGCACATGTAACCTCATTCGGAGACCTTGACCCTTCATCAGTGTTTCCTGGAGAAGGGCAACGGCAACACAATAGCATATTCACGTTCTTGCCCGCCTGACTGTTTGCGTGAATGCATACGTGCGTGCATACACTTTATTTGCGACTAGGGAGGTTGATGGTGCGTGTTTTTTGAACTACGTTTACCTGTCTTTTGGTCCCCGGTGGCGGCGCAGATCAATGGCATTTTGCATCTCTTGCGCCTCCAGTCACTATTTCCGCTCCAATCGGGTGTACATTGTTCGTTCAGCGAAGAGAAACTCTTCTCAAGGACAATCCACTCTTCTTTCCTAAGAACAATTACTAAGGTTATTGTCAGAATCGCCACTAGCAACACCGCAACGCTCACTCCAATCAGAATCTTTACTTTCTTTTTCATTTTGTACCACTTGAATGCCAGCAAGACTGTCCATCGGTGTGCGAAAACGGAAGGAGTCCGACCACTATTACCTTTTTCCAAACCCTTAATCCACCTGATGTTGTGATTTAATGGTTACAACTACGGAAAACCTGAACACGAGTACAAGCATTTCTTGGCAGAACGAATATTGACCGACCGCCGCCAGGCGGCGCCACTCACCGCCGCGTCGGCGGGAACAAGGCAAAAAAGGAGTTGTTTTTCTATGAAATACCCAACTAAGCACCCTTTTAGTTTTTTTGAGGGGCATTTCACGGGCAATTATAGGGCAGAATCACAGACAAAGTGGTTGCAAGTCCGCTGGCCCCGACCGCTGTGCTCTCCGTCCGTCCGTGCGTCCCACCTGCCTTCTCCTCGTTTTGCGAAGCACATGCATAAACAAACTTGAAATTGTTTAAAGTAATATACTGGCTGTACTACCCTCCTAATCGGTCTCCTCTTGAGGCCTAATTAATTGTCCCACTGCCTCCTGCATCAAGCTACATTTGCTCCCGCCAGTGGTAAATGAACCCAAGGCTCCACTGCAGAAAAAAAAACCCACAACATCTGAAAATAAAAGTAATTTTTAAAACACTAGCACAAGTCGCTCCCCCTCATGCTCTAGGTGACAGTTGATGGTGCACTAGTCTCCTGAACTGAACTGAAGAACTGCTGACCTACTGGCAGCAGTGAGCAAAGAAACAGATTCCGCTGAAGCGCGGCCGACGCGTTTTCCTCCAAACTTTGCCCTACGTTGAAGAGTTTACTGCTGCAGTATATTTTACAGAAACCCCACGGCGTGTCTCCGTTATTATTATTACTTGCATTTCAGTCCTGCACAGGTTCGCCATTGAAGGACAAAAAGGAAGTGTTCAACGATTCTCCATATTGGGCTGGCTTGGGTATTCAGCTTGTATATGACCTTACCTACCTTGAAGCTAGAGTTGCAGAAGCAACGAATCGCTGATTCAGTTCCTGACATAATAAGTTGTCTCTCCTGCCACCATCAAGGCCTTGGACCGCGACGCGCCCAAGGTCTGAAACGCTGCAGGGAAAGCAATAGGCTGCTTCTTCGATTAAGTCCTTGACTAAGGTCGACATACATTGGTATATTTTGACTGCAATTCGCAAAACTGGTCAGCTGAGGACGATGTCTATGGGGATATATGAAGCAGAAAAACAGTCACAAATTGTCCCCACTTGCTTGCTCTGTAGGCCCCCACTATGACTCCGTGCACAGGATGCCAGGAGGTGGCAGCAAGACGTGCTAATGTGTGGTAATCATCTCCTTTTAGCTGGCGATGTAGCGCAGTGCGCACTCCCGGAGCCGAAGAAGAAAACTTAGTATAGTGGCCGTCTAGGCGATAGCAGATGAAATCACAGCTACCACCTAGCCGGCCGATATACTAAAGGGAAAGCAGCAAACTGGAGGCAAAGAACAAGCAAACCTGGCAGAAGTTCTAAAAGTCTGAGACAAAAAGCGGAAGGGAAATAAAATAAATCAAAAACGTGAGTTCTTGAAAGAAATGCATTACACTCCCGTGCGTGCAATGCGCATGCTTGCGCATGTGTGCACGGGGTAAAGTCCCACATGCTGTTTGTTTTTAGGTTTTAAAACCCCTCATAGCCGTCAAAGGGGTCTGTCTTTCGGTCGCCTCTCTCAGCTAACAAAGAAGTTGCAGCCCTCAACATCACGAAGAGCCGCAAAAGAATTAAAACCCAGCCTGACAGCCCCAAGAGGGCCCGCATGCATGCATATCATGCATGCATGCATATCATGCATGCAGTGACAAGATAAGACAAGATAAGAACGGTACGTATACACACAATGGCACGGATTATGCAACGAAGCTGCTTGTGCAGCAAGACAAGATCAATGCACACAACTCAAAGACACATGAAAACACACGGAAGCAGCAAAAGCAGTAGCCACCATCACCTGCAGCAGTTACCAATGCAACACCAATTGGTGCTAAAGTTGCATAGGTGGCTGCTGTTGCAGCATTGACTACTGCTGTTGCTGCAGCTGCTGCTGCTGCGCCACCTGCAATAGCAGCAGCAGCAAAGGCGGAAGGGAGGCTAGAAGCTGTCCGGCGCATGCGGGCCATTAACTTTTATAAAGGGGAATATCCCCACTTCAAGCGGGGTGCTCTTGCTGCTGCTTCTGTTCCTGCTGCTGCTCTACGCCCCTGAAGGCGAGCATAGGCGTCTCACCGGGTCGACGCAACCCCACACCCTCGAAAGTATGCATGAGCACACGTACATCCCGAGATGTGCAGATGCAAACATACGTGCATGCATACGTGAATGCATACATATGCACCCTTGCAAGACCCAAAGAGCAGTTTCTACACGCGCAGCATCATGAGGGTTCCTCCCTCAAACCCGCCGCCGCCAGATAGCCGCCTCGACAGAATCCAATGTTTAGTGAGCAGCAGCACGTGTCCTGCTGCATGTATGCATGCTGAAACAAGTATGCACATCTTGGCCCGAAAGAAGGGAGAAGGCGGGCAGCATCATTTTGGGTCGAGTGAGGAGAGGCAGACGGCGATTGAAGGCAACAGATTATGTTTCAGCAGATGCTGCACAACTTGAATCCCGACTGGATGTTGCTAAAATGGTGCTGCATCGCACACCGGGTTTGCTGCTGTTGCTTCTGTGGTCCGTCTTTCTTACTGTTCATACACCTCCACAGACACCGCTCCTGGCCTGCAGCACGGCGAGGCTGGAAGGCGTTGTTGGCGGTGCTGCTGCTGCAGCTGCAGCTGTTGCTGCTGTTGCTGCAGCTGCAGCTGCAACTGCTGCTGTTGCTGCAGCTGCTGTTGTTGCAATTGTTGTTTCTGCTGCAGTTGCTGCTGCTGCTGCTGCTGCTGCTGCAGTTGCTGCTGGGCAGGGGTGGCGAGTGCTCGGGAGGCAGCCATGGCATCGTCTAGGGCCCCCAGGGCATCCAACAGCAGCTGCTGCATGTCTGCAGGTTGTTTGCTGGGGACGATCCCCAGGCGGATGCTGCGCGAGAACAGCCGCAGGAAGGGCCGCAGCTCCGCTTTGCTGCTGCTACGCGCTGCTAAGGCCTTCAGGCGCCCAACCATCGGAGCGAACTGCAGCCGTTCCCGTGACAGGCTGCTGCTGTTGCTGCTGCTGTTGCTGCCGTTGCTGTGCCGCAGTTCTGACCCCACCTCAAGAATGCAGTTCTCCAGCACGTCCTCCAAAATAACACACACCGCGCGACGCCATGGCTGCAGGTCTCCACCATCATCAGCGTTGTCTGCCTCTGCGTTGTTGTCTCTTGCACAGCGAGGAGATGAAGCTGCTGCTGCTGCTGCGGCGGCGGCGGCGGCAGCTGCTCCTGTTGTTTGTCCTGCCGTTGCCGTTGCAGCTGCACCAGCTCCTGCTGTTGTTGGGTTGCTGCTGCTGCCGAACGCCTGCGAAGAGGAGGCCGACACGGGTCCAACCAAGGACGGCAAAGCTGACGTACCCCAGCTGCAACTGGAAGCAGAACTGCTGCTGCTGCTGCTACTGTTGCTGCTGTTGTTGTTGTTGCTGCTACTGCTGTTACTGCTGGTGGTTGTAGTCGTGCTGGTACTACTCAGGGGACTCCGGACAGTCCACTGGGGCAGCCCCAACGACACAGCTGCATGTCCTGCTGCTGCATCGCCTGCAGTGCTGCCTGCACCCGTCCCTCCCCCTCTAGCAGCAGCAGCTGCTGCTGCTGCTGCTGCCGCTGCTGTGGCGGATCTGCTGTTGCTTCCATCGGAAATGAAGCGGAGGAGTGACTGCACACTGTCGTGGACGCCTCTGTCCTCCAGTGTCTCACTCCACAGCTGTGCTGGTCGCGAGTCTGTTGCAGCGCAGACACTCTGCTGCAGCTGCTGCAGCTGCTGCAGCGCAGCTGCTTCCGCCGGCATCATCGCAACTCCACCCCCGGCACTTCGATCCCCAGAGCCGCCCAGCATCCCTGCTGACCTTGCGACCAGCCGAAGCAAGTCTGTTTCGACCTCTTTGCTACCGTTTTGTTGTTGCTCCGGTTGATGCTGCTGCTGTTGCTGCTGGGAATGCAGCGGGAGCCGGGAGGCGAGTTCTTGTTCTTGGCGGCTTTGTTGTCGCTGCAGCAAAAGGCTCTTGAGAGCCTGCAACAGCATTGCGGTGTCTTGCTGCTCGTTGCCGGGCTGCTGCTGCAGCCTGCTTGCGAGCTGCAGCAGCAGCTGAGTCCGCATATCCCCCTCCGCATGTGGCGAATCAGCTCCTTCTCCGTAGAAGGGATCACTTTTAACTGCCAGCGGGGTGCCGGAAACTAAGGGCCCCGTGCCCTGTGACCCCGCCCCCCGGGATGCCGCAGCAGCTGCTGCAGCAGCAGCAGCTGCTGATGCTGTGGTAGCTGATGCTGCACCTTTAGGGGAAAACAAGCAAGCAGCCCCATCTGCCAACTCTTCCTCGGATCGAGGAGATCGCGCAGCAGACAGCGACTTGCTGTTGGCCTTTCTGCGCGCTGCTTGCTGCTGCAGGTGCTGCTGCAGCAAAGCCCACTGCGAGGCCGATAGCTGATCAGCGGAACCGGCCGCAAGATCGTGCTGCTGCTGTTGTTGCTGCAGCTGCTGCTGCAGTTGCTGCTGCAGGTGCTGCTGCAACAGATGCTGTTCCTCCCCCTGCAAGAGCAGGTGCTGCTGTTGCTGCCGCTGCTGCGGCTGTTTGCATGCCTTCTTCGCATTGGCTGCTCTGCCTTGGGTTGGTTTGGGGGCATCATCCGCTCCAACAGCCAACGCAGACGCGCCCTGCCGCTTTTGCCTTGTCGTTTGCTTCGCTGGGGTGTCTGTAGCCGCAGTAGCAGTAGCAGCAACAGCACCAGCTTGCCCTCTTCCTGAGAGAGCCGCAGTGTTGCAGGCTACTCCGACTTGGACCCCTCCTGGGGTTGCCGCGCAGCGTTGCATGCGCTGCGTGCGTTGGGGCTGCTGCTGTTGTTGCTGCTGTGACTGTTGCGGTTGCTGTAGCAGCTGTTGCTGCTGGGACGCTCCGGCGGTGCTGCCGTACAGCTGCAGAGCAGCAGCTAATTCTGCTGCTTCCGCGTCGATGTCCAAGGCGTCGGGAGGGGCCCCCTCAGGGGCCGCTGTTGCATTTATGAGACCGGGCTGCGGTGTCGCCTGCTTCATAAGCTTGGCGTACTTAAGGCGAACCTTCTCCCACCTGTACACCCATTACCCAGCAGCAGCAGCGACACGAACACCACTTGGAACACGGCCATTTGCAGCACCAACAACAGCACGAGCAACAGCAACAAGAGAAGTGGAGGCACAAGCACTAACCTCAGCAGAAGTAGCACACTAGCATTAACAGTGGCAGCAGCAACAGCAAGAAGAACAACAGGAGGGGAAGCAGCAGCAAAAGGATCGCACCTAAACTGCACGGCTTGCATGCGGGCTTCTGTGAAACCTTTGCACGCTTTCACAGAAAATGTTTTCCATCTTTCTTGTCCTTCTTCGGACCATCTCGCAATCCATGCGTTGCGGGAATGGCAATACTTCACCCCCGGGAGTCGAGGGGCGACTCGACCGCCTGCTGCTGATGCCCGCAGCGCAAGAGCAGCCGTCCCTACATCTTCTGAAGGCCGTCTGCTGCTGCTTGCTGCGGCGGCGGCGGCGGCGGCTGCAGCAGCGGCGGCGGCGGCAGCGCGGCGGGGAGGACGCGAACGGCGAGAGGGGCCCTCGCGCCACCCTGCTGTATTCCCCAAGGGCCACCCCGGGGCTCCCTCTGGAACAGGGCTCTCAACCACACCATCCTTGGTTCTGCTGCTGTTGTTACTGGTGCTGCTGTTGCTGCCACTTGCAGCAGCTGCTGCAGGAACAACAATGTTCGGAGAAATACCTTCCGCTGTGCCATCCACCACAGGATCAAGGCCTTCGGGTGTCGTCGGGCGTGTTTCCAGGCGATCCTCCCCGCCTGTAACCGTTGAAGTAGAAGTAGCAGCAGGCGTTGCTGCTGCTGCTGGTGTTGGTGTTGCTGTTGCTGCTGCTGGTGCTGCTGCCGCCGTCCTATGTTCTTGCTGTTGTGCCAACTCTGCCTTCAGCCGCAAGCTGTCACCAACACTACCCGACGCCCCACCGGCCGCCAGGGACGGAGAAGGCGAAGGGGAGGAGGCGGTGCTTGGCAGCGCAGCAGCTTCTCTTGCTGTGCTGTTGCTGCTGCTGCTGTCTGCGACGGGGGCTGGGAGCTGCACGTTCAGAGCAGCGAGAGCAGGAGCTGCTGACAAAGAAGGTTTCCCCGCCGCTGTGGTCTCACGAAGCGCTCCACTCCCTTCTTGCTGCAGGTCCTTAGCTGCCGCAGCAGCTGGTGGTGGTTGTGCTGCTGCCCTTGTTGCTGGGGGTGCCCCTGCTCCCTCCACAGCCGCCCCCAATTCCCCTGAACCTGCTGCGCTTGTTGCTGCACCTGCTGTTGCACTTGCAATTGCAGGTGTAGCGGCAAATCCTACCGCATCCGCTGCAGCACCTGCTGGAGGCGCAGCAGCAGCGGGTGTAGTAGTTGCGGCGGAAGCCATAGTGGCGCTTTTAAACCTGCAGAAGGTGCAAGGCAGCTCGGGTGTATATCCACTTCAAACCCTTGGAGAATCTCTCAATTGCTTTAGGATGCACACCACAGGTAACCACAGAACGGAAAACCCTCAACCCTATAAGCCTATAGGCAGGGCTCTGGCGGTGGCCTTGGCTTCGTTGGCCTCGTGCTGATGTAGCCACTGCTACTGCTGCTGTTCTTGCCCCTATTGCTGCTGCTATTGCTGCTGCTATTGCTGCTGCAATTGTTGCTGTTGCTTCTGCTCATACACCCAAAACACCGGCGCGACTCGCGCGGGACGGGAGACGGAGCCTCTGGGGCGTCAACAGGGTGAAGCAGGTGTACTGCAGCTGCCTCCAGGCTGCTGCTGGTGTTGCTGTTGCTTTTTCTGGGGCCTGTGTGTATCTATTGGGTCACTCTGCACGAACCAATGGGACGTGCTGATGCGGAAAAAACTCAGGATTGACGGTTTTGTCGGAAGAGGCGTTCCAGCCGACCTCTCCACCTCGGACAAACGGGCCGGCTTGGAGTCTACGTACACCTCCGCCGCGCCTCTTGCTGCGTTCTGCGGCGTCCCCTCGCTTCCGAAGAGGCTGCGGCGTTCCCTCTCAATAATTAAACTGCGGAATGCAAACAGGAAGCTATGCCCACGGTTCTAGGCAAATGAAGAGAGAAGCGCAAAGACACAAAGAGACGAAAAAGACAAAGTCGGAGTGGCGCAGAGCGCGAAGTGAGAAAGAAACAATCACACAAAGAGCGGTGCTTACTGCTAGTGAAGATCACAACCCACAAGTAGCAGAAGAATTGTACTCAGTCAACATCAGGGAAGAGTGCTGCTTCCCATCGGTACAAGCGGATTTCGGACAGGGCCGCTAGAAGGGCAGCGGAGGACCTAAAAAGAGCAGCTACAGTAGCTGCTCCTAGATGCATGCATCATGCCAATGAAAGGTCTCTCGCTGCTGCTGCGGGGTCTGCTGGGCCCTGGCTCGGGGGCCCCAACGGCGCCGCTGCTCGGACACCGAGGGGGAGACAGGCGGAGGGCGAAACGCAGAAATGCTGCGTCGTATTTTATTAGGGGATATGTGAGCTTACGTCCCCACACAAGCCCGCTGCCGGTACCGCTGCTGCTGCTGCTGCTGCTGCTGTGGCCGCAATGAGCAGGCAGCGGTGGGCCGCAAGGGGTCCTTTGTTGCGGTTGATGCGACCGAGGCGGCTTAAGAGATCTAACGGAATCAGAGGGAAAGAAGCAACAGCTAAAATCCCTCACCTACGGGCTGCAATCAACAACCAGCTAATGGGCAGAGGAGGAACAAGTGCTGCTGCTGCTGCTGCTGCAACAGCGGGTCCCCACGCAGTATTCTGCAGGCGGAGAAGGAGCACAGCATCCCTGAACACGGATGCTTGCGAAAACAAAGATCAAGTAGACAACAAAAAGAAAAGAAACCAAAAAACAAACGCGACGTTGCACACAACACCCACGACCGCCGCACAGGAGCCGCTCGTTGCGGCGGCGCACAGTAGCGGATGGAGGGGAGTTCTGCGGCCTGCGGGCGCCTGCGGATCTGGTGATTTAAATCGATCGTTTTCAAGTTTTTTCCAGATTTTCCACCAAATATAGTGCTCTTAAACAAGTCCCACTCATAAGAAACACCGTATTCGCAGTTTCCCAGAACAAAATACCCCCACACAGAGCACCTCCTGCCTACCCGCGGCACGGTACACACGGGGCCCGAGCACAGATTCCTAGCACCCCCAACAGGCACGTATCGACGTGCATGTACTATAAATTTCCTCAGTTTTGTAACACAAGTTTGTGGGAATTCTGAAATAATAGCATTAGAAGCCCATCGGCCATGCAGGTGCACGGGGGCGCTGCACGGGAAGGAGTTCACAGCTGCCTTTTGTACACCTCCGGCGGCTCTGCGGCGCAGTGCCTACTTTCCGGGAAAATGTTCCCCAAAAAACAATTTAAAAACCTCAGGAGCATTTTACATTTCCTTAGTATCCTTAGCCACGGAATACCTTCGTCCCCAACGAGTGGGGCCTTCCTAGCACAAGAGCAGACCCGATGAAGTCCCACGCACCCTCAGCATCCCCCACTGCTCCGATATAGGTATGCCTATTCGAGAGCAAAGCAAACTGCAAATGCATGAAAGATTCTAAGTAGGGGGCATCGAAGTCCCACATACTTCCCCCGCCTCCCCCTTGCTGTGCTCGCAAGGCTCTCTGTGGTCTGTCCAGATGTTGTTCTTAAGCACTTACTGGGCCCCTCCTAGGCAGCGTGCACGCAATTAGAAGTACAGAAATTGCATAGAATGTTACTGTGGATGGCAAATGGGGTCTGGTTGAGCTTGTATGTAAGCTTTCCCTGCAGCATTAGTTGCAGCGAGGGGGATGGCCTCATGCTGAGGCCCTTGAACCGCTGTCCCTAGGTTGTTCAAGGAGCATAGAGGATGTCATCTTCGCTATAGGATCTCGTCCTGAACTTTTTGGCTCAATTGCGGCTTGCGACCCTCCGTATACACGACTGGCAACAATTTATCTTAGACCAGCGTTACCAGTTGGTGCTTTTGGACTACGTTTAACAGTTTGTACCACCGATGGGTCTTGAACTTATTGAATGAGTGCATTATATTATTCCCTGGTGCTTTGATGGGTCTCCCTTCATTTCCAAGGGTCTCACACTGTACAATCTAGAACTTACATATATCTGCTCAAGGTAGGAGAGCGTAGCCTCTTCGTCCTCGTCCTCCCTATCGGAACTACGACAGAAAATGCCTCCTTTTTCTATACTTTCCTTTAACTATGCATGCTTAAGTGTTATTTTGCATGCACCTCGCTTGCCCACCAAGGTTTGGCTTGCCGACGGCGGATAGGAGAAGTGCATGCTGGGGGGGCGATGTGTGCAAGCACTCCAGAGGATAAAGGGTTTTCTTTCCGACACCTTTCTGCCTCTTCGTCCCCAAAGAAAGATACTCTACGACAAAGTGAATGAAGGGGGTGGCAGGGACCAGTAGATGATATAGGGGGGTTTTCAACAGGATGATTCAGCAGCAAATAAACGTTATATGGATACGTTACAAGCGAAATATTTTGGCAGAATACAGCGATAAATGTATGCCACTATTCGTTTGAGTGTAGATATAGTTAAATGACAAGAAAACAGTCATCTCGCTTCCCGTACCTCATGCATTCGAGGCCCTCACAGAACCGGACACTGAAAAGATCCCAGTCTTGGCCGCTATTTGTTGCAACCAGCCCCGGTGTGGCGGACTACTCTAGCTGCGGCCGGAGTTATATGGCTAGCTGTTCACAACAGTGGTCAGCTGATACCTATCCCACTGCAAAATGCAACGCGTAGATGAAGTGCAGAAAAAAGCGAAATACAATGAAAAGCTCAACAACAATTTTTCTTTTTTGTTCTTTGACGTAGTTTTAGACGGTTCATGCTGCTCACACATACAAGACGCGAAGGAACAAGAACTGTGAGGCGTCCACAAGCCGCAGTAGTGCCCTCTAGCAAACTGTTCTAAAGCAATAAGGTTGTCTCACTCGTCTACTTTCTGTAAGCTATCCTGCCGTCAAGTTAGCGCCAGGGAGCGACACCCAATAGAGGCACTGAGCAAGGTCCACGAAACTCTCAAGGGCGTTGAGGGGCCTCAATCTTATCAGTTCTGTGAATGGTTTATATGTGCACTTCTGCCTGTTCGCAGGCTGGCTTTTAAGGGCAACAAAAGCATTCATAAACTGGCGACAGTGCTAGCCAGTGCGGCAAAGATTAATTAGCTTTGCTCTGTATGTGTAGTTGCATTGCAGCATTCGCTGAAGCCAGGAGGGTTGCAGCTCATGGCAATCCGATTCCCCTCCGCACAAGCCCCAGAAGTGTAGACCCGTTTACACAGGACAACGAGGAAATTGACAGGACCTTTCCTACAGGAAATCTATGTTTTGGCATTTAAAGCCCTTGTAGCTGGCGACAATGCTCAATTTAGACGGAGTGCCTTGGTACACTTCGATGAAGTATCGGGGCAAGTGTTTGCACACAACTCCAAATCCATAGCAAGGTGGCATGCTATCTAGCAGTCCCAAAAAATTATCTCCACAAAGTCTGTCAAATATATGGCCACGTACTCGCACAGTGGAGATTGTCCAGGACCTTCCCCCCGTCGGTTACTGAGCAACGGCTGGGAGTCTCAAATCATTGAAGCATGGGCAGTGCCTGCACCCAATGTGGGACAAAATGTGTTGCACCAAGCTTCGGTCAGTAGGAATGTCTTTACCTTTGATGAGAAGCCAGGTTTGACGAGTGCCGCGAGGCGGTGACATGTAATCTTTGTTTCTCCTACTTTTGCATTGACGACTCAGCAGAAGAATTACAACTTCTATTCATATCTTAATTATTAGCAGTAGGTCCACAACAGAGGTAGTTTCATCAAAAGGAAGGTACTGTTGGTGCGGAGCAAGATCTTACTCCAGAAGCCATCCGGTCTGCTCTGACGTATAGGTCCATCCCCAGGGATGCAACGGAGCAGGCTTTGGCAGTACTGAGAAGGTTGAAAAGCGGAAATATGCTTGTAGGGAGCCTCACTGAAATATCACAGTCGTTCGTGGACGGAATTCCAACGGTGGACTCAGAAATGACTCATATCCGGACACTCATCCCAAAGGAGGCGACTGGTAACCAACAGGGCAGCGGCAATACGATAGTGCAGCGCTCAGAGATGATGGAATTAATACGCACCAGAGGAAGAAAAGAGACGCCTCTTGCACCAGCCCACCTGGGAAGGAAGAAAGCGAGCTTGTAATGATCGTTTGCATGGCCTTTCCGTAGAGCCAGCTGATATTATGGGGCTCTGACTGCCAGTCCCGCTGCGCTGACGGAGACCAGCTGGAAAATTCGTCGCTCCCAATGCGGCGGGAAGTACCGAGGAGAGCAGAGGCTGCTTCCAAAATAAACACGGACAGATAAGTCTCGATTTCTGGCCGATGGAAGAAGTCAAAGAACTAGAGAAGCAAAATTCCGAGCAACTCTCCCAGGGGAACAAAAGTAATCACTAGGGGAAAAAACTGCCCTCCATGCCACACGTAGTGAGGCAATGAGGCCGAAAGGCAAATATGGCTGACATAAGCTCTGTGCTAATCTCCGTTATTACCAGTTAGCACAAGATGGTGTTGCGAATTGGCACAAGCTGCAAACTGGATCAAAGATCCGTAAGCATGGGAATGGGGTGCAGCCTACCGGTCTAGACGTTATATTGCTCTCCAATGGCTGACAGGAGAAGCGATTCGGTAGTTTCTTCGGTCTGTACAGTGTTGATCATCCTGTGTTCATCGGGAATTGTGCAAGAACCAAACTTGCAGCAACTGTTGCTTGACACGCAGGTGCCATGAAAGAGGCGTAGGCTCATGACAACAAAAAATATGTGTATTCTGGTACACGCATTTAGCTTTCAAAGCTTTCAAAGTTTTGCAGTAACTGGGGCTGGTGTTGAATCAGATCCAGAGACGACTGAGTGATATTAGGCGTGTCCTCCCCAATGGGTACACTTTCACGGGTGTTCAACATTTCCTAGCTTTCGTAACGTCCTATAAAATCACCTTTTGAGATTGGTTTTCATATCTGACCATATAAGAGACCGACCTAAGTTGGAAAAACAACTTCTGTGGGAATGGGGGCGAAAATGCAGCGGAGAGATGCCACATCAGATATCTAAGAGAGTCTTCGGAACCGGCACTCCCTAATTTCGCTAGGATTTTCTTCCTAAAGGCAATGAGAATTGCACGGCTGTTAAATTTGTGTCCTACGAGCAACCGACCGACTTGAAATGGCACCCAGCTATTTACACCGTTTGACGGATAGACAGCAAATGCACCCTGTTCCTGTATCTATACCATCTTATAGTTACAAAGAAAGCGTCATCACTTCTAATATGGCAAGCAATGCACCACTCAAACCGGTGATCAATCCTTGACTCGGCTGTAGAAGAGCTTTCAAGGCCAGTATAGTGATGAATTTGTTCGGTAGTTCTACCGGCTTACACATTACGACTTCGCTGGCAGATATACCAGGCGAATTGCCAAAGTGGAACTGGATCACACTTTTGATGCCCTATCATCCAAACGGCAGACTGTTCTGCAACTACGGTGTTGCGGGAGGTTGCTGCCCTTCCAAACTGTCTGCTTACCTCTGCGCAAGGTTCCAATTAGTGCTACAACAAGTGCTTGACAAAAAGTGCCTGTTTAAGCACTGCAGAAGAGAAGTAAGGATTTCGCAAATTACACGCTCTAGCTTCACTCCGCTCAGACTTTTCACTCCAAATGATTGATCTTGCACTAGCCGGTCAAGAGAGGTCCATATGGCAATGAAGCAACAGGAGAGGAATTTTTTGTGGCCAAGGATACAACCCGTAGGGTACCCATGAGTCACCAAAGTTACTGGATGTGAAGGGGTTGCATTGGGGTTGCCTTGCAGCATTTCTTGTAGCAAGGTTCGCTTCAGCACATAACATGTTCTCTAGGAGTTTCAGGTCTTGGTCCAGGCTATATACTTTAGACAGGTCTTATTGTTAGTATCTCTAGTGCAGGTTAGTTTCTCCTTGGGGGCACCAAAATCGAGCCACTGCCGCTGATGCAGCACATAGACCGCAGCTCAGATGGATGTCACTACTTGCAACTAATACTTTTACAGATCATGAGAAAAACTTACTCACGGAACATGAAGGTGTTAGGAAGCAATTCCACATGCAGATAAATGCGTGGATGCTTGCCGACGTCCCCAGATTTTGTAGAATTTCTGCTCCGGCCAAGGACTGGGGGAGTATAATCCTGGACATCTGGTGATGTAGGTGGCGTGAGGCGGTGTGTATCCCTAACTTGTATGCAACTAGGCTTGAAGGCATGAATTTCCTTCGGTGCGTTGTTTCTCTTCCCCTGTCTACAGCCTGTGTACAACGTGCCCTCAGGTCTTGCTGAGTACCGGCCTGGGCTATGATTGTGTTAAAGGCTGTAAAGTAAACGCCTCGCCAAAACAGCTGATAACCGTTCATCTAACCTCCTGGCGGCCTGGGAACATGGAGGAGGAAAGGTCTGCGGTAGGTGCTGGAGGGGGGGCAGGTTATGCAATATGTCCATGCTCGCCGTGCTGCAACCGTTTCTGAAAGGGGAATTCACCTGCAAGTATGCCCAATTTTCCATTTTATGCATGCACTAACATCATAAACAATTGTTATGCAGCGGTTAAACTCTTCAGAGGTCCTCGTTAGCCAGCTTACGTGCAGCCGGAAACCCAGGTTGGACCAAGCTCACACCGAGCACGCTACGGAGAGTGCAGGGGGACAAAGCTAGGCGAAGTGACTTTTTCTATTTACTGAATACAAAAGTGCACTCATCAAACCTTGTGAAAAATGAGCACTGTTCCTCGGACATTCTGCACGTGCCGAGACGTGAGGTCTGCAGAACCCCCATCCTGCGCGACGGTTGAATTTGAACGCCTGGGTCATTTGGCAATTAAATAGGGGGAATCTCTTGGTCGTGCACATTATGGCTGTTTATTTATTATAAATTAACGTGTGTTCCTGTTAAATCTACATAAAGACTTGATCTTACGCTTCGCTGCGCCCCTCATCACAGCGGCCCCGTCTCCCCTTCTCTACGATGTGCAGTTCACGAGGGGATGCAACGGTAAATGGTATTGTAGTCAATTCCGGCTTGTCGGCATACAACAGACAGTGCATTTTCTTTTGGGATACTAAAGTCCGTGCTGTCTGTACATTGCAGGCCTTGTAGTTCCCCCATTATGATCTGGGCGTCGGCGAGGATGCTGCGGTGTTCAGAGGAGCGCTCAGTGCGAAAATGGAGCATGTAGTCAACCCCCAGAGAGTTACGTTTGGACCAAATGTTTTGCTTTATTAGTGTGTGTTTATGATACTGCAGAAATCGTGTTGAGAGCGCTATTTAGAGCCCGATCTGTTACAGGTGCTCTCTCAGAACTCGCACGCGTGCTGAGCCCTTTCAGTCCCGCGGCGCCGCCGGCGGGCAACTACTCTTCCCTTTACTTCTTCTGTTCCTCTTCGTTTTTTCTTCATGATTTTGTCGTTTTTAAGAAGCGAATTAATTTGCTGACCAAAGCGCCCTTCGTGGGGGTTCGCAGCTCCCGCCTCCCCGCACGCCGGCCGCCCTGTGCCCTGGCGGTTCAGACCTTGTACGCAAGAGGAGAACACGTGCCCTTTTTCTTTTGTTTATTGCCTAGAAGGTCTTTTGTGTTGTCTTTGGTGTTTTAAATCATGACGGAAGAGGCCGAGCCTGCTGCTGCTCCTCCTGCGGGCAGCCCCTCAAAGCAGGCTGCGGAAAAGAAGAAGAAGAAGACCAGCAAGAGCTCGACGAAGAAGCATTCCTCTACATCTTCGAAACCAAAGACTTCAAAATCGAAGTCCTCTAGCTCCAAATCCAAAGAAGCAGCGTCCACAAACTCAAACTGTGCCCCCGTAGAGGAACAAGAGCAGCTGGAGCTGCCACCAGCCACACCCCTCACCAATGAGACGTCTCCCCAACAGCTTGACGCCCACGATCAGACGCAGATGCCTGATTCCGAGTCACTGACACATCCTGCAGATGCGGAGACAGATGCACAGGATGCTGCTGCTACTATGGTTCAGGAGGAGGAGCACCAAGAGGAGGAGGACCTGACGGCCGCTGCTGCGGAAGCGCAAGAGGCGACAGTAGACCCAGAAGTAGAAGAAGAAACAAGAGAGGCATCGGAAGAAGGAATAGAGGCGGAGGAGGAGGCCGAGGAGGCCAAGACAGAGGACGCCCCACCAACAGCAGGTGCTGGTGCTGCTGTAGGGGAAGGAGCCTCCTCTGGAGCTGCGGAGACAGTTGAGATGCAACGGAAAAGGGCCTTTCCGGAGAGAAGCCAGGGCGCAGGAGACAATCGCCGCTCGCCTCTCAAGAGATTTGCAGCAGCTGTAACTTTGGACCAGTTCCCCCGCACTTCCGTTAATGGCAATTGCGGTGGTCCCTGGCGGACCTCTGCTTACTGCAGCTGGCTGCATGACACCGTAGGGTGTACATGCAGGCGAGAGGCAGGGGGCCCTCTCCCAGAGAAGTGGGCATCTTTCTCAGATTTCTTGGCGGCTGTAGACTTGCGCGCCACTGCCGAGAAAAAGCAGAAGGGGGAACTGGTGGTTCCCGAACGAGACAAGGAGAAGTCACAAGAAAAGAGTGACGCAGAAGGTCAAGAAGATGACCAGCAAAAGGAACAACAGGAACAACGGCAGCAAGATGAGGCTGCTGCAGTTCCATTCGTGACACCCAACCCATTGATGGTGGAGAAGCTACTGCTGCTACCGTGCAAGACGTTTTTGTCTGTCGCCTTCGCGCCTCAACTTTTTCGTTGCCGCCCGTTCTCCCCGGTGGGTCTACAGGAGCAGTTCGATGGAGCACAGCGCCGCAGGGCGGGGATGGGTGCTCGAGCCAGCCGCTTGGGACAGCAGCGGCAATCAACTGCTGCAGCAGGCCAAACTGTTGCAGGAGAGAAACAGGAACAGCAGGACAACAAAGAAGCGAAGACGCCGCAACAAGAGGGGCATCAGCCGCAGGCGGACGAAGGCCAACAGCAGCAGCAGTTTTTGGGTCGTCGGGCGATAGGGAACGGATCTGAGTGTTTGATAGATGAAGGCCGCATGCGTTTGCTGTCGGTAGTGAATTTGTGTCTGACAGAACGTCACTACGAGCCTCAGATGCTACGGCGTGACGGCATCAGTGTCTTCTGGCACAAGAGTCAGGGGGGCGGAGAAGTTCCCACCAATGAGGGCTTGTTGCTCTACTTCAAGCTGCTCGCCCTCCTCACAATGCACGGTGTACGCACAGCTGAGCAGTGGGCGGCGTCTGCTGACTGTGCCGCATGCAGTGCTGTGGGTGGGAGTGCATCAGAAGCCCCTAGGGGCGAGAAGGGGGGCCCTCAAGGGTCCTCCGCTGTGCGACCAGGGTGCAGCTGCCCTTGGCGCTTCGCTGTGGTGACGCACTGCACCCACGGATTGAACAGGACAGGGTATATGTTATGCGCCTTGATGATGGCTCTGTTGGGCTTGTCTGCTGCTGAAGCACAACAGGTCTTTGCTACTGCTCGAGGGCAGGCTATTGCAAGAGAAGAAGTTGTTGCGGCGCTGCAGCAGCTGCACCAGCAGGGATTCTCCGATGAGCTGAAGGCGGCACTTGTTGCTCCCGAGCTCCATGCGGTGTTTGCACAGAACGCAACGGCAGATGGCGTCAATCTCCAGAAAGGGAGCTGTATCATAAATGTTGCTGCAGCGGATGCAGCAGCAGCCGACGATGCCCCAAGACACCTTCCCATACCAGAAGGCTTCAAGAAGAAACTCGTAGAGTACATTGACTCCGAGCGAGAACGGCTTATCCGGGGCAAACAGCCACCCTCAAAGCAGAAGCAGGAGCAGCAAGAAGAGAAGAAGGAGGAGGTGGAGAAGGCTGAAGAGAAGGGGGAGGCTGGGGAAGAAGAGACAAAGAGGGAGGCGGAGGTCAAGGAGGAAGTATCAACAGGGACAGCAGGAGAGGGTGCTCAGAAGAAGACGGAAGTGGTGCTTAGCGAGGAGGAGCTACAACAGCTGCCATCGATCCCGGAGACGATCCCCAACAACGGGGTGGTGCTGCTTGGACCTCTTGCAAATGCCTTGCTGGCACCTGAGGAGGCGCTGGTGTACTTACTGGGTCTACACCCCAACCTCCGTCTATGCGACTTCCGCGTCATCACTTCTGAAGACATCAATGAACACATGCGCTACTCCACAGCCTCCAAGAAGGCGGGCCTTAAGAGAAGGCGCAGGGTCGGCGTGGCACCCCAGAACGCTCCTCAGAAGCAGCAGGAGGCGGCGCAGCAGCAACAGCAGGAACAGGAGCACGAGCAGCAGGACAACGAGCAGGAGGAACAGCAGCAGGAACAGGAGCAGCAGGAGCAAGAGCAACAAGAAGAGCAGCAGCAACAACAGCAGCAGCAGGTGCAGCAGCAGCAGGGCACCAAGCCGCTGAGTTATCACTACATCCTTTACCTGCAGGCAGCGGATCCATTCTCGTTTTCTACTCTCCTCAGTGCTGATTTGGTCTCTCTCCGGCGCCAGCCCTTGCATGCATTTACTCTGGATTTCTTACCTTATCTGTTGAAGCGCGGACAGGAGCTGGACAATTCGTTTGTCACATGGGCCCTCCAACGCCCTCCACGACCCAAAAGGATCATGACACCCTTCCCTCTTCCTGGGATGCCACCCTTCCCGATTCCGGGATTTGGGGGGCCTCTCCCCCCTCCCCACCTCATGAGGGGTCCAGGAAAGGGTCCCCAAGACAACATGCCTTTCGGCAGCTTCCCAAGGGGCAGTGGCAGGAAGCAAATGGTGGGGGGCCCAGGGGGCCCGCCTCCGCCGCCCTTCGTTGGAGGCCCCCAGTGGAGTGGGAACCCCCCACCGCCACCTCCGCCTCCCCCGCAGCCTGAGGGGCCTTGGAAAGGGGGACCTGGTGCAGACAACACACCAAAGCGTTTCCCCAGGAGGGCCGATGCAGACAACAGCCGGATGGGAGGCCCTAAAGAAGCGTATAAGCAACCTGTTGATGACAGGAGGGGGGGGGCTCCGGGGGCGGGTCGTCAGGGCCCGCCTCGCGATTTCTACGACGCCATTAAACAGCACTCCCCGAACCCGCCATCTGTGGGGGGTCCCTGGGGCCCCCCTCCCAGCTCCAACGGTACAGGGTGGGGAGCTCCCGGAGGGGGCCTCGGGCCGAGCGACAGAGCTGGAGCAGGAGGTATCCCTCCCCCGTTTTCGATGCCGAAGGAAAGTGGAGGGAGAGGAGCGTGGGGCGGAGGCAGCTGGGAAGGCAGGGGCCCGCAAGGGCCCCCTGGAGAATGGGGTCAGGGCCCCCCCGGGGGTCCTCAGGGTAACTCCCGAGCCGAGGGTCCGGGCGGCTCGAAACGCCACCGACCAGCGTACGACAGTAACTACAGCTCAGGAGATTGGAACGGGGCAGGGACTCACAAAGAACCCACTCGAGGTGGAGGGCCTCAGGAGTGGGGCTACCAAAGAGGAGGGCCTTCTGGGGGCCAGGGGCCCGCCACCTACGACAGCTTTGCGACACACCGCGGCGGAGATAGCCTTGGCGGGGGAGGGGGCTTCCGGGGAGGGCCTTCCAACTCCTTTGGCAGAGACGGAGGGCCGCCGCCCCGCGACAATCAGTATGGGGGCCCCAGAGGCGCAGGGATGGGCCCCACGCAGCACCAGCAGCACCAACAAGGGTTCACTGGGTATTCGTCTAACCCCATGCAGCAGCAACCGCAGCAACAGCAGCAGCATGGAATGCCTCCTTTTGGTGCTGCTCCTCAGTACCACCAGGGAACGAATCAAGATTACAGTGGAGGCCAGCAGCAGCCGTATTCTCAGCAGGGCTACATGTACCCTCAGCAGCAACAGCAGCAGCAGCAGCAGCAGCAGGAGCCTGTGCCTGCGTACGTGATGCAGCTGCTGCAGCAGCAAGCAGCACAGAGAGGGGCCTCGGTTGATCCGCAGGTGTTGGCCCAGCTGTACACGCAGTATTACCAGTCTTTCTTAAGCTCAATGTCCAATCCTTCGGGGGGGCAGCAGATGGGGCATGACCAGATGCTGCAGTACATGCAGCAGCAGCAGCAGCAGCAGCAGCAGCCTGCCCATTGATAGTGCAACCAACAGGTGCCCGTCTGAGCATATTTGAAGTGCCCTCTTCTACACCTCGCGGCAGCGGTCGTTTGTCGTCCTATAGTAGAGCTTATTTGGCGTAACAGCAGCAGCAGCAGGATGCAGCACAGAGCAAAACTTCGGTGACGTTGGGGTAGGTGTTGAGACCTGCGTAAGGGAGGACTTGCTGCTCGCGAGGGAGTGTTCGAAGGGGGGGGGTGTTGTTTATTGGCTGTGTGTATTTGTCCAATCCATGGACGCACTGCAAGTCTGATGCAGTGTACGCTCATGGTAAACAGCAGCAGTTACGGCAGCAGAAGTTGTTGCTGCTGCTGCTGCTGACGGTGCTTGTACTAAGTACTGCGGGTTCAGCTGCAGATAATGTGAAGGGGGGACGAGTAAGGGATAGAGGAAGGAGAGGGGGGGTTTGTCTGCCCCTGTGTTTGTTGTTTGCTGCTATTGCCGCCGAGCTGCTGGGGCCCCCTCCCTCCCGTCCTACCCTTAGCTTTAAGGTGTTACTTTTCGAATGTTTCTTGTCATTGGCTTGAGGTGCTGGTGTTGCTGTCTGGGGACAGCAGATGCAGCAACCCCCAGGCCAACTCCAGTAACGACAACCTTCTCCCCCCTACCTGTGTCCAGAACGCGGACTTTGTCTCCTCCCTCTTTTTCCCCGCTGTCTGTGCTGCTGTTTTGTCTCCGTTGTCCCCTCTGTCCCTGCTCTCTATAGTTTGTCTTTTCCTACCCCTGTTTCTGCTGCTTGTGCTGCTGCCGATCTCTCCCCTTGTACAGTTTCTGCCGTTACGGTCGCTGCCGTCTGCTCGCTGTCCCGATCCTGCGACTATCGTTGATGTTTCTCCTAGTGGTGGTCATCGTAGCTAGCTGGGTGTCGTATTTGACTAGCTGCAGCGTGCAGATGACCTGCACCAGCTAGCCCGGTTGGTGCTTGACAAGCTGGTGGGCGCCCCACAGCTGCTTGACAGCAGAGCAAACCAACATGAAGGGAGGTTGATTAGGGTTCTGGAGTTGAAGGGTAGACAAAAAAAGGCACTGTAGGACTGCAGGGTCAACCCACTGGCGCACCGCAGAGACCAAAGCTGACTGACTGTATAGACAGCACTCAACAACTGCACTAACTCATGCACCCGAACTGCTCCGGGCATGCGCATGCATGCATGCACGCATGTGCACGGGGGGACTGGGGCTTGGGGTAGAAAGACTAGCAACTGCTTAATGCCGCCAGTTTGTCTGCCTTGTGGGCTGCCAGTTTAGGGTTTAGGTCGGAGGACTTGTGGTTTGCACAACATCATTGTTCAGTCTGCCAGACGAACCAACAACAAGCCCGCGGCGTCCGCCACGTCTTTATCTTGGTGCTGCGCAGCGCAGGTCACACAGCGGTAGAAAGGAGAGAAGGTCAGGTGGTGGCAGCTAAATTCAGGATAAGGCGGCTACTGGTGTTTGGGCCTTCAGATGTGCATGCACACGATGGAGCCGAACAAATGCGAGAAGGCGGCATAATAAAACAAAAATCAGGCGATGGAGAGACACTGCCAACACAAACACAACGAACACCTAGATGGCTCTGGATGCGACGGCACAATCGTTTCAATGTATTTGGTCTAAACGCAATGAACGGCGCAGCTGCAAGCGAAGAAGCGAATTCAGCGCCTTTACAGAGGGCCCCTTGTCCTTCTGTCAATCAACTGGGGCTATTGAAGCGCAGAAGCAGCAAAAGTACACTGCAGGTGATTCCGGCAGCAATACCCATGAGACGGCACCATGAGAGATAGGACAGACACCAGATAATTCAGGAAAGAAGAAAGCGCACAACCCACCACACGCAAGAACGAGAAATGGGTAGACAATTGGAAATATAAAGGTGGACGGAAACACCACAAAATGCACAAACAGCAGACAACAGGCAGCAGAAACCCCCCACATCTCGCAGCTTCATGAGTTTCTGTACGGCACCCGCCGACTTCACCGCCTGCACAAACTCAGGCACGTCATCCCCGCCTTCCTCTGCAATGAAATCCTCCAAGTGATAAATCGCCTCTAGCTGAGTGTACAGATTTTTGGCGTTTGGAGGCCTGCAAGGCAAAAACAGCGGTGATAATACCAGTATACATGCAAATACACAAATAGGTTCAAATATAATGCAAACCCCTGCATACCCAGATGGGCTTTGCAGACTACTACGCTCTGCAGACCACTACGGACTTCACGCCAACAGCTTGCAATTCCATCAAATCAACGGGAAAACACCGCATGTACGGGTTACAGAGGAGTGTATGCACGCGCTATGAACACTGGCAACTTCATATTCTGGAAAACACTTCTTCACAGCCTTATTGCTTGCTGCTGTCTTACGCATCCAAAAACCGCACGAGCTGTGCAATGCCTCCTGCCTTCAAGAAGGCGCGTCGCTGCTTCGGGCCTGCAATAAGCAAATGCATTCAATACTGATACTGTATCTCCTCACTCTGTTGCTGTTTATGCGTGTATACATGCACGTAAGCAAATGTCCTTGGGGCCGATTGTCCTTGGGTCATCCGTAACTGCCCCATCTGATACACTGCAGCTATGCATGGGAACAAGGGCCCAAACATCATGGAGCGTTATCGTAATATCACTTTGCTGGTGGTTCTCTTCAATCAAATGCCACAGTGGCTTGGTAATGCATGTATGCAAGTGCATGCATGCGATAACAAGCCGATACAGTACGGATACAGATGTTTGTATACCGGTTGCATGTTGAGAAAAGTGAACCACTGGTAGTTGCTGAGCTTGCACAGCATTCCTTTGCGCTATGTTGTGCTTAGTTGCCTCTAAGAGCCTCTGCTGTTACTCCTCGCTGTTTCCTGCCGTGCCTCCCAAATATTTTGCTGTTTTTCCCTTACCCAGAACGTAAATGTTGCGCGCAGTCTGAGCGCAGGCCGCCCGCATGCCCTCTATGTCGGACTTCATCCCTTGAATCAGAGGCGGCAATGCTCCCTCGTTGTACATGGCAATGCAGTTCTGATTGTCTAAGCCCGACAGCAGCAACAGCAGAAGCAGCAGCGACATGAAGCTCACATGCAGTATTGCCGCGAGCTAACTGAAGTAAACTACGGCAGCGAAGCGGGGGTTACAGACAGCAAGCCACACACAAGGAACGCTCACTATCAACAGACAAAAATGAAAGCGCCACAACTGCAGATTGCCTCCTGTCCAATTCCTGCAAACACAACCACCAAAATAAGGGTTTAGGAACTTGCAATCTGAATGTTCACAAATGCATCAAGGCCTGTTTACACTGGTCCTATTTGGCTGTCCTCAACTAAATGCCGGCGACTGTGATCATCAAACGAGCGGGTAATGATTCTTCATGACGAAGCAATAGCGCCGAACGATGTAACCAAGTAAACAAGACGGTTTCATTTTTGAAACACACAGCATTCCATGATTTCGAACACGATGTGCTTCGAGTGGTAGAAGACAATGCTTTACAACAAGCACTAAAAAATGCCTGGTCATCCTCTATGGTGTGGCCGGCAATCAAAAGGAAAAGCCAAATGCACAAGGGCGAATGCACTAAACGATACTGTGATACGCATATGTGTACGTATTTCCAGATGAACAGCAAAAGGTTCTGCCTTCCCTGTAAGAGATATGCAAACACACCTTCGATGCCAAGAGCTTAACCAGCACCTCAATGCCTCCAGCTTCACGAATTTCATCCTTCAAATGAGGCTCCTCTGCAGAGTAAACAAGATCAACGTAGTCGCAGCACATGTATATGCAACATTTCCGTTGAAATGAACGGCAGCAAGAGCAACATTTGTGCCAGCAGTAACAGAAGCTGTTCCCGCATTCGCTTGCTGCTGCCGGCCCTGCTGCCGGCAGCAGCACAACAACAAGGAACTGCAGCGTCATATTCAGCAGCAGCAGAGGCAGCACTAATTCCCGAGGATGTGCTAACAGCAACAGTGGCGGCAGCAGCTGTAGCTGCTGCAACACACAACCTGCTGTTCACACGAGATTCTAACTGCATCACTAAAAGGGGTACTGGGTGGGTGCATGAATCCACACAATGCATGGGACTCATGTGTGATGCTTACGTTCACGCGAAGCAAAAATTGCCAGCTGAGTTGCTGCCAAAGCCCCAATTGTCTCAGGGTCTGCAGCCCACGGATGCATTCGGTCTTCTAGCTTCTCTATCTGCAAATGACACACAGATATATAAATAGGTGCTTGTATGCACGTATATGCACTATCACATAGTGTCCTGTTAACCTCGAAACAACTTTAAGTACAGGCGTAAAAGCACGACATGCATGTTTTCTTCTGCATCTAACGTCCCCCTAATCTTCGTGCAAAAACCATAGGGCCCTGATAAATCCTTTGCATTTCCACGTGTTTTACCTCGCAAGTGGAGTTGCACAGGCGCACAAACTCGGCTATATCCCCGTTGTCGTAGGCCCTATCAAAGCGAACGACATCGTCAGCCACTGCATCACAGCAAGAACAAGGGTGCACAATGTTCGTCTGACTTCTTCATGCTTAGCTGTTGACACATTTGTCAATGAGTTGCTCGTTTATTTGAATCTGTCTACTCCTCAGTACGGTTGCTAGTTCATCTGTGCTGTCATATTCCACGTCTGTTCAGTTGTCGGTGCGGCCAATCAGATGCCGCCTTGTGAACTAGGGCGTGCTTTGCGCCCACAAAAACGCAGAGAGCGGATGCTGTTGACAATTACGTAAAAAGAGAAAAAGAGGAGGACAGTCGAGGAGGCTTATGGCAAAAACGGGAACGGAAAACCCGAAGGGTCCAACAAACTAGAGCTCATTCAACACAAGGAACAGACAACTGCTGTACGCAGTGAATTAGGTACAAGCAACAAACACCAGCAGGAATAAACAGGAACAATGCAACGCGCCGACACACTGGCACTAATCAACCTCCCAACGCACACAACGAAGAGACGTACCTGCTCCAAAAGACAGCATGTTCTTCAGGTGGTCCCCATATTCACTCTCCTGAGCCCTCCGCTTGTATGCGGTCTGCATGAGGCAATGCGACCACAGCAATAACACAAAGCAAATCGAAGTATAGCACATACACAAATACACCCGTGAGAAGAAGGCAGCACTAGATGCTCCCGTTAGTGTTGCTGCTGCAACTTCTACCGCCAGTTGCTGCCACTGCTGGTGGCTGCTGCTGCAGTTACAGCTGCTGCTGTTTATGTTGTTCAAATGCACTCGACGCTTACATCCCGCCCGGCGCAGCACTGGTTCCCCATGTCGGCAGATGACGAAAATGTTCTACAAATAAAACAAACAAAAAAAAACGCAAGGAAGGCCCCTGGGAGTGTCCCTAGTGCCCCTCCTCTCAACGCGCCAGGCCACGCTAAACTTCCATGAAAGTGGATCGATGAACTCGTAATGAAGGCGAAGCAACGAACAAGTCGACAACAAACAAGTCGTTTCGTGAAAGCACAACTCTTATGGAAGTGGCCGAGACGCTACGGAGGAAATCGAAGGGCACCTGCAAGTCCGTTATTGCTGCTGATGATGGTTCTAGAGCTGGGGGCGCACCTGATTGAGCAGCTTGCCAAGGCAGCCCAACGGCATCGTACTGAGAAGTACAGGCATACACTGCAGGTCCTCCTCCACCTGGAAGATGCGCCTTGACTTGCTAGTTGCTGCGACTCGTCAATCAGTCGTGCTGCACGTGCTCCTTAGTCTGACGTTTCCTTTACTCTTCGGTCCTCCTACAGACACTCGCGAACGACGCGGTAACTTTCAGCAACCCAGCTCTCTGCTGCCGAACACCAATCGGATAACCTAAAACCTGAACCTTTCGCCGTATGTTCGAGCCCGGCGCCCTCGTACACATAGGGGCCAAGTGGTGCTGCTGCTCCTGCAGTACTCAGTTTGGATTATAAAGTATGGAATGTCTGTACGGTTTCCACGAGGGCATTCAACTGCCAAGCAAAGACGACGTGTGTGGCTGAATGTGATGCGCGGCTGCCAATCGAAGTTGAGGAGGCGCCATGGGGCACGCCCCCAAAGGGCCAGTTAGGAGCAAGGGATGAGTCTTTTGTTTTTGTTTTGAAAAACAAAAGGCGAACGAAGAATGCCACTGCAGCTGCAAAAGCTGCGCATATGCACTTCCAAATAGCTGGGCCGAGCCGCAACCTCGAGACGGCCGCAGGCGTCAACAGGGAACTGGGAAAAAGAAGTAAAAACAACAAACGTGCTCCAAATATGACCCAATTCAGTAACAATAGCATCTAGGAAGGAGTTGGCACAAACGGGGGCTGCAGCAGGTGGTGTTGCAGCCCTCGATCGTGAACTGCGACCAGCCAGTGCCCAGCAGGGCTGATCCGCAGACACCGTTTTTCCGTGAAAATATAGTATCTGAATTTCATTCGCCTTTGTATTGGGTTGCTATTTTAGACTGAACTCAACAATTTAAAAATGTCCTCTCCCCTATTCTGCACACAGGCCGTGTGCAGCTAGAAACACCCACCCGTGCGTCGCTGGCGGACAGCGGCGGTTTCCCGGGTGTGCCACCAGATTAAACTAAATGTTCGGACTACATGCCCTTGTTTTTCAGAGTTGTATGGTTGTAGAGGTGAAATGGCATTTGAAAAACTATGATTTAGCAAGCGGAGCGATGGGCGCATGATGGTTCGCTAGTATTGTATGGGTGGATGGCCTCGATTCGGCAAAAGCAGCAGTTTCTGTTACACCGGCAGCATGAGGCGTTGCTGTAATATTAAAGTACTGACTAGGTAGCAGAATAGAAATGTTCTGCTCGAATATTTGTTCTACTGAAGAATTGAGAAGAGATCCACAGTATCGACCGGTGGTAATCGGTAGGCGCACGGCGGCACGGGCCTCGAGACGGCGGCGCCTCCAGGTGGAATAATGGGAGCATCAAAGCGACAGACAATTCCTCTACCTTGCATATTCCTTCACTTTTACAAGTGTATGTGCATCTCCATCAAGGTCAAGGGGTAGATTATCTTGGATCCGCAACCCACGTGCCCCATACGGCAGTTTAGTTGAGTTTAGCTTACTTCCTTGGAGCAAGGGATAGTACCTAGGAAATGTTGGAGCTCCTTAAGAAGGAATCGTTCTTTCATTGTTCTACGCAGACCGCTCTCTAGTTCTTGAATTTTAGCCTGCTGTCGCCAATTTGCCCGAAGCCGCTCAAACCTGCGTTGGGACAGGCGCTTGACCTAGCCCTGCGCTGCGTTGCTGCTGTTTAGTGTGGGTTGCAATCGGTTGGTGGTCACCATAATGGCAGTTTGAGTATCAAATATTCCTGACAGTCCATCGCAAAAGGTACAGTGTACAGTGATACAATATACCTACCCCGAAGGCGGTGATGGAGCAATCGAAGTCTTCCCGTTTGCGCATGGAGGTGTTTGCAGTCACATTTACTGCCACTAACACTACGTATACAACGCTCAATGAATTGTTGCTGTTTAGAGTCTAGGCTTGATGAACCAAGAGTCGAGACGAGGCACATCTTTGTTAAGAGGAAAGCGTTGCGGCACAATTTGTGTTCGTTGTTTTAAGGCGGCGTGCTAGCTCAAATCTGCATGTCGTGATAATATCACGAGCAACGCCTACTCCGGACCAGTAATTCAGTCTTATTCCCTGCTTCAGAGATTTGCCCCTAAGTGCGTTTTACCTACGACTTCGCAAACTTGGGTTCTTATTCTTCTCCTCGTTCCTGCTTTCCAATTAAGCTTTACGTTGTAGCCAGGCGATGATCGGACGAAGCCAATGACGCAACTGTCAAGCTATGAAGTCCACCGTATAGAATAACGAATATCTCAACATAGCATCAACGGAAACCAGCGGAAGGCATTCACGCACTACAAGTATTACAGACATTGAGCCAGAATTGGTGCGCTGTGTTGGTTGCAATCGCGGCAATTGAGTTTAGCGCTGGAATTAGAGTATATCTTAGCGAAAACAAAGACCTTGGGTACCCGGCATAGAGTCAGTAGACTTGAGATGTAATTTCGTGATGACCTCCTCTCCAGTCTGCTATCATACTGGGTACATCGGCTCGAAGGCTTCGGGGTGGTGAGGCGAGAATGCATATTGTTGTACGAGTAATAGTTTACATGGCTATAACCCTAGCTAAGACGAACCTAGCAGGCAAGGATGCCCAAGCCAGTATTGGTGCATGCACTAACATATAGAGAGCCGTGCAAAGCTGATTCGGCACAATGTCCACCCACGAAGACGTGCATGATACCACATCAGACGTATCTTGCAACACAGCGGGAACTACTGAAATTTCCTCGAATCTCCCTGCAAAGTTGCATCAACTTCACTACACGGAGGAGATGTTAGATGTACCTTTGCTGGATGCATGCTTCATGATACTAAGAGGTAAAAGATACACTGGAGCAGTATGTTGACGAACCAGGACATATGATAAACCAACCGATTCCTTGCCCTCTTCGTAGCAGTGAGTCCTCACTGAGCCATGAGCAAGCCAGCTTGAATATTTGTTGCATACAACATTTTGTTGAGAAACGCTCTGCATCGTAGACATGACCAGCTTCTGCATTTGCTTGCAAGCGTTCTCCGGCCAAAAACATTTTTTATTTATGATGTGCATCCGACTATGCTTCTTCAGCTAGCTCAGTGCCACCGCCAATGGCACGGTGAATTTCTCCTTTCTTGATCTGGGCCTATCCTTAAGGCCAGGACGGACTCCTTACCCACGTGAACAAATATTGTCAGCAATATTCCAGTCCGTTCACTAGCGCTATCTTTGCGCATATGCTTCGGAAATGGTAGACAGTTCATGCGAGTTCGCAAAACTATGGGTTTACAGCGTGAAATTAAGTCAAAAGTTAATAATATAACCATGAGAGGGCTGCTTTCACGTTAGACCAATTCACCACGACATAATCCAAATGTATGGCTAGGCTTCACGTTGGTGACACAGTATATGGTGGAAATGTATAAGGCTGACAACCGCATTGGTATGCACGGGAGTAGAGGAGAGAGTGCGCCTCTCTGCACTTTCAACGGGGTTTGAATCACCTATGGCGAGACGCGTGGAAGCAGCGTCTCAGAAAGACAGCAGCGAAGAAGTTCCTATGCAGTGTAGGGCCGCTGCCGGAGGATTATTGAATGCACTCCGTTGTGAGGATCTTGCGAAGACCGCGGGTTTGTTAACAGAATCGGGTGCAATTGAAGAGAGAATTATCAGGTGTACGAATCAGTTACCATCTAGCCGGGCACTCGTTGAATTCTGAACTCACCCCAACGAAATTTTCGTAACAGCCACACGCTGCGTTCCAACAAGCCTGACCCCCATATCTTGAGGGGTAAATCCAGCGTCAAGCAAAAGAACTGCTAGAAAAAGGGAAAGTAGACCTTGCAGCTAGTGCCTTTGGACACAATCCAGTGTTGGGCGAGTTTGGGCGAGGGGAAAGAGCGAAAGTGGGGCATGTTTGTAGACTTCAAGCCTCTCAACAACAACATGGTGAAGCAAAAGTTCCCGATTCCCCAAATCGACGGGCTGCATGACCTTCTGCAGGATCCAGAAGTGTATATGCATTATTTGCTTTCCGTGAAGGCACCTGGTAAACTGCAGCGACAGGCCAATCGCGATTCTTGGTCTTAAAGCAGTGAGAAATCGATCATCTTGGCAGTGCTTGTGCTAAGCCGGAATGTGCACGAACACCCACAGCACCTGTGAGAAGCAATGGTTCATGAAACACAAGCGTATTCGTTCGTATACAAATAATTAAGGTCTCTTTTTCTCGGCAGTGCGGGTCCAAGCAGATTCGAAGTAGATAGAAACCAAGAGGAAGGTGGGGCGCAGTGGAGCCGAAATATCTAAGATCAGAATTCTTTAAATGCGACTGACCTCCCTTCCAAGCCTACAAGAGTCCTGAGCTTAGAGGCTCTCGCATTTGAAGCTACGGGAGAGGGGCGGCCAGCCTTCAGGTGTAACGAGCTCTGCTGAAACTGCAGGTGCGTGACAGCCCCACAAACAGGCACGAACAGGCCTTCTCGACTGCATGCATAAACACTGTCGACAGTTGTTGAAACCTTCTACCTGCGTACCGCTTGTCTAATAGCGCCAGGTTATTGCCGGCGTGCCCACTTCAGGCAGTCTTAACAACATCGCATAGACGAGGCCACACGCCCTCTGTGCCAGACTACACATTTCCACTTCGGCTAGAAGTAATTCATCTGACTCGAAAAGCGAACGATACAATTCGGATAATGGAATTGTTATTAAACATTTTGGCATGTTTACATTAATTGTCGTTTGTCAACCACAAGCTCAGAGCACCTGGTGAGACTACAACAGCTTGCAGTAGGACGCTGAAATCAATATATGGTGCGACAAAGATGCCTTTCGGCAATTTACGCCTGCGAATTTCACAAAAGCATTTGATGTACTGGAAAAACGCGATAAAATAATCAGCTGCTCTATCAATGCTGCATGCCCTCACAACCTGAACGCGTCGCAGCAGTCAGGAGCACACCTGAATGGCTTATTGTGGAAGGGGAAAGGCAGGCTCGGCTTGGTTATACAGCCCTGAGAAGAACAGTATAGAAAACAGACAGTAAATTTATGTTGTGTAAACTAGAAAAAAAGGGAAAACAGCGGCCTTCTGGGCTACTAACATACCGGCTGCTTCTCAGCGGCTGTGGAGGGGCGGCGAAGTTTGCCGAGGGTCTGGCTGCAGCGTCTGTGCGTCGGCGGGACGGGAAATATGTCTTTATGAATGCTGTAAATAGCTTTTCTAATTGCTTGTTTTCGTGGACCTCTTTATAGCTGTAGGCGGCCACAGCCTCATCTAATTCTCCACCCTGCATGTGCTGTTCACGAACATCGCCGCCAGCAGCGTCGGGTGTACCTGCAACATCCTGCCACTAGACCTGCTAGCACCGCTTCTGCTGCAACAAGTTGGCGTTCTCACACATTTTTAAAACTACGGAGGCTCCAGGAGCCCTCATTTTCTCTCTTTTTACCCCAAGATCAGCGCGCCAGTGCCCTCCGAGGCCGCACAACCTGTGCGGTGCTACGCCCGTTTCGTTTTCGAGCTGCGCCACTTCTCTTTCTTTTCAAGTAAAGTGAACAGGTCAGTATTGATTTGAAATGCTTCATCTCCGTTGACCTGCTCTGGATCAGGTTTTGGGCAGCAGAGGACACAGCCTCTTGGTTCGTGGCTAGCGTACGCATGTGGTCTGCATGGCAAGGGGGGTTATTGCAGCACCCTTCTTCGTATTTTTCTCTTGTCCTTGCATGCGCCACTCAACTGCATGCACTGATGGGGCCTCCCCGGGCGGCTCTCGTGTGAGGAGGCGGCCAGAGGCTTCCACTTGTTGCGATTTGGAAACTGCGGACCTCACCCGTTGCTTCTGCCGGTGCAGTTGTAGGTTTTACTTTTATTATCGAACCTAGAGTTTCTACAGTCGGATTCCGATTTTCGAGGGCTTTATCGGCACCGGGGGCATCACGTCATTTAGTATCCTCGTGTATTCCCTTTCAGGGACTCAAGGGCAGTACACGATAATACCAAATGGACTGCCGTGCATACACCCAGGGAGCAGGGAGCTGTACATGGACGTATTTTTTTGTGTTGTTGTATGGTGTTCTGTATGGGTTGCAGTTCAGGGCTTGGACGCGGCGCTTGAAGAGGGAAATGCATCGGAGAGTACTGCAGCTGTGAGTTGGGTGTTGCACTACATTGAAAGGCAAGCCAAGAAAAATTTGCAGAGGAGAACGAAGCAGAGCCCTCGCGGTGTCCGTATGCCGGATGCATTTGTGTGGGTGTACATGTCTCGTTTTTCGCCCCCTCCGGTTGTTGACGGCTCCAAGAGCACTAACAAGCAGCTGCAGCAGCGGCGGCAGCAGCAGCAGCCGCAGCCTTCGCATCTCAAAACATACTCTTTCAGCAGCTCTCCTACGAGCTGCAAGAACCCGCTGCCCGAGTGGGGTGGCTGAAAACCCTCAAGGCGTCCCCTTAAGTCTGGTCTGCTCTCTAGTGGAGGTGAGAGGGCTTTTTCAGCGGCTTCCAGTAGCGTCACATCCAGTCGTTGCTGATTACCCATTTTACCTTTTTTATCTTAACTGTTGCATAAACTCACGCTAATCTGCGTGCATGCATATTGCTGGCTGCAGACAGTTCAGCATAGCAAGCTTCAGGTTCGCTTGCTGCTGCTTTTTCCCTTCTTTGTTGTTGTATCGTTCATACCAGCATTGCGTCAGATCAGGCATCATTTTACATCATATGACCACAGGCGGCATGAACATGCATAACTCGAGAGCACCTGTGTGTGTCCTTTCTGTCGATCTGCAGCAGCCCGCTAATACCTTCTTGTCCTCATGAATGGCTACGGCGACGGTCTCCGCGGCCAAATAATTGAGGTCTGGGCGCACAATCTCGGTGAGTCTTTTCTGAGCTAGCTTGAGGCTGTACCCTGTTTCTGGCAGACTTCTTCACGCCGCAGTAGGCGCCAGCGCCAGGCTTTGCATCTGTGTGTGGCGTGTACGCACAACTTGTATACGACGTGAACAAGTCTGCGAGTTTGTGTCAATCATCGCGGCCCAGTTTGCATGCAACGTTGTCTTGGGAGCCTTCCGCGGCTGCTTTGCATGCAAATACAACATGGGGCGTTGAGGCTTTGGTGTGCGCTGCTGCAGAAGAGGAAGTCGACCGCATTATGGATGTTGTGGAACGCTATCCATACATCGCGCTGGTGAGCTGCGGTGTCTAGCTTTAATTGCTGCTGTTTTCGCCCATTCAGCTCTTGTACTTTCGACTAGTTACCGGTTGAGTGGCGTTGGTGAACAGCGATGTGGGGCACAGGGTTTTGGCGTTTTTGATTCTTTTGTACGGTGTAGGGTTTGAGCTGTATTTGCGGAAACGGTGGAATGTGCTCGCAGGATACGGAGTTTCCAGGGATTGTGTGTCGTCCGACGTCAATGTTAAATGCTTTGGACTACAACTACCGGATTGTGAAGTACAATGTGGATTTGTTAAAAGTAATTCAATTGGGTTTAACATTTGCGGATAGCCGTGGGCGGTTGGCGGAGGGCACGTGTACGTGGCAGTTCAACTTTCGTTTCGACTTGAAACACGACATGTACGCGCAGAACAGCATTGACTTTCTGAAACAGAGCGGCATCGACTTTGACGAGCAACACAAGAAGGGAATTGATGTGCATGATTTCGGCGAATTGGTTATGAATAGTGGATTAGTTATGAACGAAGACGTCAAATGGATCTCATTTCACGGCTGCTACGACTTTGGGTATCTTGTGAAACTGCTGACTTGCGAGTCGCTGCCGGAATCGGAAAATGCCTTTTTCGAGCTCGTTCAGGACTTCTGTCCTTCTCTCTATGACATCAAATTCCTTTTAAGAGATCTCCCGAACTTCAACCTAAGCCAAGGGAGCAGCTTGCAGAAAGTGAGCGAACAGCTGAACGTCAAACGTATCGGACCCCAACACCAGGCCGGCAGCGACAGTCTTGTCACTTGCTGCACTTTTTTTAATCTTGTGGAATCTTATTTTGATGGAAAGATCGATGAAGCCAAGTTCTCAGGTGTTATCTACGGCCTTGGTGCAACGGCCCATAAGCGACACAGGGGCCCTCCCGGGGCTCTCACCAAGGCCTTTTCCGTAGACCTAGGTGGGCCCGTACATACTAGCGACCTGAAACAACAAGACGGCAACAACGGCGAAATCATGCTGGGGGGTCCTGGCTCGATGGGCCGTTACGTCAGTGCGGGGCCCGGCGGGCGCTTGGGAGCGCATCCGCAACAGCAACAGCAACAGCAGCAGCAGCAGCAGCAGCAGCAGCAGCAGCAGCAGCAGCAGCAGCAGCAGGGACCTTGGGGGTCTATTGGCCGTGTAGGAAGTGGGGTGATGGGAATGCGGCAGCAGCAGCAGCAACAACAGCACTCGCAAGCGCTGCTGGGAATTCCTGCAGCCGCAGCCGACACCAACACAGATCGCCTGAGAGGGGGGGCCCCAGGAGGCCCCCACTCGGGCATGATCCCAGGTAATGGGGCCCCAAGGGGATTCGGTTCAGAGCTCCATCGCACAGGCAGCGCACCTCCCGCTCCTTTGCTTTGCGGCAGCAGCGACGGCCGCGTCTGGCCCGCCAGCGGCAGCATTACAGTGGGGGGGAGGCATGCAAATGGGGAGCAGCAGCAGCGGGTTGCTGTGGGAGCCCCTGCTGCAGGCGCTTTCGTTTTTGAAGGCACAGGAGGGGCCGCAGGGGCCCCCAGGAGGCCTTGAGGGTTATGCGGGGGGTTGGATTCTGAACAGAATTGCTACCGCTCGCCACCCTGTCTTCGTTCGTTGCTGTTGCCGATGCAGCTGCTGCGGCTGCTATGCGGTGGCCCTGATTTAGCTGCTGCGGTGTACTTCCATAAGGGAGTGGCGCTGGCAGTGTGCGGGGTGATAGAGGGGCAAGAGGGAGACAACAGGCAGGCTGACGGTGCCTCTGCTGCTGTTCGTGCTGCAGCAGCAGCGGCAGCAATGGCCGTAGCAACAGTTGCAGTTGCATTGCATACTTTAAGCGTCACGTTCCCCCCCGCGCAGCGCATTCATCTGCAGCGGCGAGGAGGTCTAGGGTTCAGCATCTAGCAGCTTACAGATAGGTTTGGGGAGCTGGGGCTGTGTGGGGCCCCGCAAGGGGCCCCCAGGGGGGTCCCGTAAGGGGCCCTTAGGGAAACCCGGATGCGGAATTGCATGTCGGGGGCCCCGAAGTAGTGATGGGGCTCATCATCAACTTCTTGACCGTATGGAGGTGCCCTCTGGGTTGCAGTTTTTCGAGCGTTTGTCTGGCGTTGGTTTGTGTCTTGCTGCTGCGGTTGCCGCTGCTGCTGCTGGTAGTAGTAGCGTTTCTCGTTCTGTTTCGATGGGGAACCAGTAGGATGTGTAGGGACCTAGCTGTAGGGATCAGCTAGTTGAGCTGGAGTTACTTCTTACACGTTCCTGACATACGCACCTTACACCCTGCAGATTATAAAGAGATGCATGAATGCCCTTCCGTCAGACGTTGACACGGGACGTAGGTACGGGGGTGGAGGGTTGCTGTTGTCGTGCTTCTACAGGAAGCAGCGAGTGTACGGATATTTAGCTGACTGAAGCATTATTACCATCAATACTAAAGGTAAATAATCATACTGATTGTACTTTTATTTGGGGGTGAATAAACAAACCTCCAACCCCCTGCTGCAGTGGTGCATGCATGAGTGGATATTGACGGGGGTTAAGTAAGTGGGGAGATGAGAGTCCAGCGTTCCTTCTGCGGACATTCAATTTAGTTGGTACTTTTTAACTCTAAAAAACAGCGAGAGCCAAATGTTGATTTTGCTGGTGCTGGGGCTGCTTAGAGGCGGCAGCAGCAGCAGCAACACCAATGGAAGTTGCCGCTTGAGGGTGGGTGTTGTGCAGGGGCCCCCATGCGACAGAGTGGCAGAGTGCTTACAGGGTGTAAAAATCTGTATTCGTCTAGTAAAACTGTAGTAAAGGGAATTAAACGAGTTTGTTTAATTAATTAAATCAGCTGCAAGATGGCAGGAACGCTGCAGCTTCGTCACACTCGGGTTGCGTGCGGTATGTATGAGGGTTTGCTACAGGTCCAGTGGTTAGGGCTGTCTGGATGTACACCGCAGCAGGTGCGTGGCTTGTGTTTCCTGAAGAAGCATTAATGCTTATTTAATTATTGTTGTGGTGATCTGCAAAGGGTTGCAAAGAAGTTTCCTTAGGCCCTTAAGCCTTTGCTGCAACAGCTCTAGAAGCGGCAGCAACGGCAACATCAGCAGCAGACAGGGCACCTGCGCTGTGCACATACATACACCTGCGTGCTTTGTCCTTAAAAATAGACAAAGCCTTCCTTCTTCATTAATCAAATTTCCATCTGTTCTTTTCGGTTTGTTGAAGTGGCCGTTCTTCATTCCTTCTTTTCGCTGGCACATCTCAACCCTGCAGCAGCTGCAGCAGCTGCAGCAGCAGCAGCAGCTGCAGCAGCAGCATGGTGGACCCTCCTGGGCCCCGTAGCCTTCGTGGCATTGAGCTTTCTGTTCCTGGAGGACATCAGCAGGAAGAAGGCCGTTGTTGCCTTGGTTTTAGGGGTCCCCGGGGTCTACAAGTGGGGCCCCCTGAGGGCCCCCCGCTTTCTCCTACCATTGTGGGGGCCCCTAGGGACACTTGGGGTGTACCTTGTAGCGGTCACGTTAGCAGCGACGGCGCTTGCGAGGAGATGGATCATTCTGATGACTCGGAGGGTTTCTTCTTTGAAACCCCAACGGATATAGAGGGGGGTTTCCTGTTGCCTGATGGCGTTGTTGCATCCTTCCGGCGTGCTGTAGGGGGTGTTAGTAGGCGTCTTAGGAGTGCCTTTTTAAGGTTTCTTGGTCCTCGCTCTCCTCCGGCATTGTTGCGCCCTCTGCTGTCTTCTCGTCGTTGGGGAGGGGGCTTTGCCTCTTCCACCTCCCCCAGCAGCAGCAGCACCACCACCACCAACAACAGTAGTAGCAGCAGCAGCAGACAGAACCTGTTGATGCGTGGGGGGCCGTTATCTTCTTCTTCAGTAGCAAGAGGTCAAGAAAGCACAGGGGGATGGGGGGTAGGTGAGGATACACCCGAGGATAGGAGGAGAACGGGTTCGGGTGTATGTTGTAGAGCAGAAAGACTGCAGCAGCCATTAGGTGCAAAAGAGTATTCAAGAGTTGCTGGTACAGACGAATCAAATCACCACGAGGAGGGTGCAGCAACAACGGCAACAGCAGCAGGAGCAGCACCGGCAGGAGAAGAAGCAGCAGGTGCAGCAAGTTGGGATGCTGTAGCGGATTTGGATCGTTTTGTTGTTGGGGTGTATACGTACTGGGCAGAGGGAGGCTTATGTGCTATGTTATCTTCTTATGCTGCTCATTTAATAGTATTAAGTTTTACTGTTTATTTTAGTTGGTTCTTATTAATGTTTGTTAATTGGGGGGGTATTTTATTTTGTGTATCTGTAGATGCATGCGCAGCAGAGCCGCTGCTGCGTGTATCTCCTTTTTCACCTTGGGGCCCTTGGCAGACCTTATGTACTGTGTATGTACTCTCCTTAAGTTGGGTTGTTCTTTTCTCTCTTTTCTCTGTTTTTAATAAATGTAAAGATGCTGTTGCTCTTAGACTTTATTTCCGATCTAGGCTGTACATACACTGCGACACGGCGCTGCAGCTAATGGGGTGGCCAGAGGTTGCTGCGCTGCTGCTGCGAGCTCAGCAGCAGCACCCTTTCTGTCTCGTGAAACAAAACTTATCTGTTTTAGACTTAGTCTCTGTTATCATGAGGAGAGACAATTATATCATCGCTCTTACTAATAAAGAAGTACTAGGAAGAGCTCTGCCTCTGTACGTACACCCCAAACTCTTATATACAAGAATTCTTCTATGGACTATAAGAACTGCCATCTTCTTTAATTTATTCAATAAACAACAAAAACTTAACAAACAACTCTTCTGCACTCCTCCTCCCCCAGGGTAATTGACTCACTTACGTACTCCGCTTCCCCTAATACTACACTAAACACTAAACCCTAAACCCTAAACCACTAAACCATACATCTAGGGTACGGCAAGAAAGGAACTGGGTTTTATCTGTCTCTGTCTCTTTGTGTCTCTATCCCTTTGCCCTTCTCTATTTCCTCGTCTTTCTCCTTGTTTCTTTTTGTTTGCCTCCCTGTTTGTTTGTATTGTTCTCCGTTTGCCAGCACATGTTATCTTTGCTACCTGCATATTATGCTGCTGCTCGTCGTTGTGCTGCTTACGCATCATTGCTGTTGTCTCCTTTTGCTGCTGTTCTTTTTGGGGTGTCTCCGCAGCTCTCGGCATCGTTCTGCTGCCGGTCACAGTTTGGCGTTGCGATTTGCTGCATTTGGCTGTTTGCATTTGCTGCTGCTGCTGCCATTGCTGCTGTTTTCTTTATTTTTCTTCTTTCTTAAGTATACAGAAGCAATTCGTCAGAGTCATTTCTCTCTTACATCCAGCAGGGAGTTTACAGGTTTTAGTTGTTGGGGTTTTAGGGAGTTTAATGAGCTGCCGCACCAGCTAGCTGGACGGCTAGCTGCAGCTAGCCAAGCAGCAGATGCTTACCTGCGGCTACATCCCCGTAGCCCTAGCTTCCGTCGTCTTCTTCTTACTCTTAAGTTTATTACGGGGGCTCTACTAGCTGTTTGTTTGTTGCTGTATATATGCGAAGATCTTCCTCTTGTTCTTACTAGGGCAGAAGGACGCCGTCTCTTAGGTGTTACCTTCGCATTGGGTATCCTCTATGCTGCACTCAGCAGCAGTAGCAGCAGCAGCCAAAACTCCCCTGCTTTCGATGCTGCACATACAGCAGCCAGCAGCAGAGGCACAGACAGACAACTCTTCGATGAAGAAAGCTCAGCAGTTGCCGTTGGTAAACCCCTCACACCCTACTGCTACTGCTGCTGCTGCTGCTGCTGTTGCTGTTGCTTCTACTTCTTCTGTTGCTGCTACTGTTGCTGTTGGTCCTGTTTTTACTTTTGCTGCTGGCGCATCGATGTGCCTTCAACAAATCTTTAGGGTGCCCGTGTCATTGTTGTTGTGGCTGCTGCTGTTTGTTGCGCTGTAGACATGTCTGCTGCAGGCCCCTTGAGGCAGCAGCACTCGCCGTTGCAGCTGTATCAGCAGTGCATGCGTCTGGTTTCTTATACACATTTTCTTCCTGCCTCTTGGATGTCTGCCTCATGGAAAGTTTCCTTCATATCCCCCCTATTGGGTGATGCAGAAGACGAAGCAGCAGCAACAACAACAGCACCAACAGAAGCAGCACCAGCAACACCGAAAGCACCAGCAACACCCAGTCATCATAGCTGTAGCCACGCTGAGTCCGGTCGCTCCAGATCCTACAGCAGCAGCAGCAGCAGCAGCAGCGGCAGGGCAGGAGGGTTGCTGAATGAAGCAACGGAACATCATCACCACCGCTCACATAAACGGCAGCACCGACCGATGTTCAACGAACAACAGCTGCAACACCAGCAGCACCAGCAGCAGGATGGCTACCATGATTGTCGCCACCATCATCATCACTCCGGTGAGCATCAGGAGAGTCAGCAGCAGCAGCAGCGGCAGCGGCAGCGGCAGCGGCATCGGCGGCGGCGGGAGCATCGCAACCGTCGGCACCAGCAGGAGCAGCATCATCACGGGCGTAGATCCTCACGTTTCCGTAGCAGCCGTAGCACTAGCAGGAGGAGGAGGAGCATCAGTGGTAGTTTCTGCAGCAGCAGGAGCAGCAGTATCAGCAGCAGCAGCAGCAGCAGGAGCATCTCACCTCCTCGATTGGTATTTGGAGGGGAATCTGTGCAGCACGGGGCATTTCATTCAGTGTCTGCACAGCATAGACAAGCAATGAGGGATTTATGCAGCAGCTTATATCGATTAAGGGTATTTTGCATGCTTGATGAGCTGCTGGCGCTGCTGCTAGCTCCTTTCCTTCTTTGCTTCTGTCTTCCTGCTGCAGCAGATGATATCTGCGACTGTATCTTTGCATGCACCGTGTCAACCCCATTTGGTGATCTTTGCTGCTTCTCTGGCCTCGATGTGGCAGCTTACGGATCGCAAGACTACACTCCTCCCCCGTTCCTCCTCCAACAACAGCAACAACAGCAGGAGCAGCAGGAGCAGCAGGAGCAGCCCCGACAGCAGCGGCACCAGCAGCAGCAGCATGAGGAAGAGGAAATTGAGGCGTGTCGACACGCCGAAGTGGAGATAGGCGCAAGAGAGAGCAGCAGCATTGAAGGTATCTCTGCTCCGTCTTCTTGGCGCAGACAAATAGAGGAGGAGGCAGCAGATGCTGCTGCTTGGGTGCATCTAGCCCCAGCTGTGCACACACCTCAAGGGCGCCGCCCTCCTGTTATCCCTATGCTGCAGCGTTTCATGCCTGCAAATGGTAAATTAGAAAAAAGTGCTTTATCTTTTCTTCTTACCTATCGCATTGCTGCACCTCATGATGATACGTCCCCTCTATGGGCTGTCTTAGCCTCACGCAAACTTACACGATCTCTTATGGCGGCCTCCGCTAAACGTAAGTGCCAAAGCCCCAAACACAAGTACATACTAACCCTTGCATCAATGAATGTATGCATGCTAACCCATGCATGCAGCCATGTATGTGAACCCTTTAATGCGTGCAGCCCTGAACGAGAGCGAACTTTTGCCTGCATGCATGCATGCATATATGCATGCAAATACGCAGGGTGTGCGGCGTGCATGAGTGCATTGGCGCTTTTTGCGTCTTGAATGTTTCGTTGAAGTGCTGTTTCTCTTTGGGTTTGGCACTCCTTCATTTTCGTGTTTTTCTGTTGTGTTGCATTTTATTTTTATTGTCTTTTATTTGTGTGTTTGCCTGCAGATATCGGAGCAGGAGGGACTCCTTCTAGCTCTAGCTGCGTCCCTCTGTGCTGCTCATCATCCCCAAGGGACAGAAGCCGTAGCTGTTGCTTGGGGGCACAGCGTGAGCCCCTCATAAACTGGGGGGCCCCCCCATCTGCTGTTGCTCTATTAAGGGGCCTCGAGGCCTTTCACGATTATCTGCTGCAGCAACAGCCTTTCCTTCTTCAGGAATTACCTGCCTGTCTGACGCAGTTGCGCGGCTCTGGATCGCACCGATTCAGCCCCCCTGCTGCTGCTGCTGCTGCTGCTGCTGGTGCTGCTGCTGGTGGTGGTGCTGCTGCACCTACAGCTTGGGGGCCCCTGCATGCAGCTTGCGGACCCCGACCAATAAGCGATGAAGAGAGAGGTGCGTATTTCTTCTGGCTAGAGAAACTTTACGAATTCAATTCAGGAAGAGTTTTATTTGCAACTAATCAACTTAATTTCTTTACAAGAGCTCTCTTTAAGCAGACCCACCTCCAAGACCCGACTACTACTGCTGCTACGAGAAGCAGCAGCAACAGCAGCAGCAGCAGCAGTAGCACCAGTGGAAAGCGCGCCTGGGGGGAGGTTCCAAGGGCCCCTCCTTGTAGGCACAACAATAGAACAGCAACCAAACACTCGTCGCGCCGCAGCAAGATGAACAGAGACAACAACTGCCGAATGGATAACAACAGCAGCAACAGCAGCAGAAGCAACAGCAAGTGCTGCAGCGACACCAGCAGCAACAGCGAAGATGGCCATCCCTATTATCGGATGCACCACAAGCACCACGGAGTGAGACTGGAGCACCATCGTCATCAACACCACCAGCATCTCCAGCAGCACCAGCAGGAGCAGAATCACAGGCATTTTGCCTCGCATGTACAGCACCAGCAGGAGCAGCAATGCAGCCCCTCCCACCATGCCGACATTCATAAGGGATATTACCCAAGGAGCAACCAGTCAATACCACACCAGCAGGGGGATACCCATGATGATCAGCAACAGATGCAGCAGCAGCAGCACCTGCAGCAGCAGCACCAGCAGCACCAGCAGGTGGTCCCTATCTTTCCTCCTACAGGCGATAGCCAGACGGCGCAACTGGATAAACAGGTGGAACCAGACATGCACCCGTGTACACTAGACAGGGGACCTACCGAAAGCAGCAGTAGCATCAGCAGCAGAAGAAGCAGCAGTGGGGGCTACCAGTATTCATCCACACCTGCATCGCAGCACCAGCGGCTGACGGTGCAACAGCAAGTGCTGCTGCAGCGGCTGCTGCAACAACAGCAGTTAATGCACCAGCAGCACCAACAACATCAGGATCAGCTTCATCAGCAGCTGCAGCACCAGCAACGGCTGCAGCAGCAGCAGCATTGCGGCGTCGAAATATTCGATGGCGGGGAAAAAGACGAACTGATGCAGCTGCTGCAACAGCAACAACAGCAGCAGCAGGAGCAAGACAGCATCCTACAGGGCCTTCAGCAGCAAATGCAGAGCCGCCCTCCTGGGCGCCGTATATCGGAACAGGAGCACCTGTACCATTTGCAGCAGCAGCAACAACTGCAGCAGCAGCAGCTGCAGGAGCAAAAGCTGGTGCAGCAGCAGCTGCTGCAAAAGCAGCATGACATCGAGCAACATGGGGGGAACCCAGCGCAGTGGGAATAGGCACAGAGAGCCTCCCTGCTGCTGCTGCTGCTGGTGGTGCTGCAGCCATAGCAGCACCAGCACCAGCAGATGCACAGTGCCTCAGTGCACGGCAGCGGCTTGCTGCTGTTTTGTAAATGTCAATTTGTTGTCTAGGCAGGTGTAACGTTTGCTGCAGCGTAGCAGCAGCAGACGCAGCAGCAGCTTAAGGAGCACAGCAAATATTTGTAGAGGTCGAGTGCCCCACAGTGTAGTGACGCCGCAATGCCCACTACATGTTGTTTCTTTTTGTCATGCGCTACAGCTCCTGCTGCTGCAGCAGCAGCAGCAGCTGCAACTTCTGCTGCTGCAGTTGATGGGGGAGCTTTGGCTTTGTTTGTTAACCTAACACTATTTTTGCAGATGATGCACAGAAGAAGAAAAGACGAATTTAACAATAAGAGGGAAGACAGATAAACACTTACAAGAAAGTTCCGTTGCGAGATACGCATGCAGACGGGTACCATCTGCTGCTGCTGCTGTACCAGCAGCTGTTGCTGTAGCGGCTGTTGCTGCAGTAGCTGTTGCAGCTAGTGTTACTGCAGCACCTATTGCTGCTGGTGTTATTGCAGCAACTGTTGCTGCAGGCGCTGCTGCAGCAGCTGCAGCAGCGACGGAAAGATTGGCGAGGGACGGATACAACGGCAGATATAAAGTAAATGAGAAGAAAGAAAAGGTGAAAGAAAACAGAAGAAATAGGGAAAAAGACAAACTTACAACGGCAAATAAATACACCAGAAAACAAGCAGAGACAGACTCATTGCAGCAACAGCAGCAGCTGCTGCAGCAAACCAGCCTCTGCTACTGATGCAGCTGCTTGCTGTAGCAGCAACTTCCGCTGCGAGAGCCTGTGCTACTAAGCAGCAGGTGGGGGGGAGGGAGAACCATTACCACCATCGGCACCAGCAGCAGCAGCAGGAGGTGCAGCAGCAGGAGGTGCAGCAGCAGGAGGTACAGCAGGACCAGCAGCAGCAATAACATCTCCATTCCCTGCTTCGTATTTACGCTTAAAGTCTTCATATGCCGCCACCACATGAGGAGACACAGACCGCCTGAAAACGCATGCAACGTGAGACAGCAACTCGTACCTGCTGCTGCCGCTGCTGTTTCTGATCGATAAGCTGCTGCCGCAACTTTCTTGTCTTGCTTCTGGGTGGCTAGTGTGTGTCTGGTGGTGGTGGTGGTGGTTGCTGTTGTTGTTGTTGTTAGTGTATGGATTTACCTTGCATCTTTGGCTGCTAGATCGAAGTGTCTCTTTGTAAGCTGTTTAATTCCCTTCTTTCCTTGTTTCTCCGCTTCTATTCTCTCCCTAATTGCCAACTTAGCAGCGCGCTGACAGAGAGCAGTTATATCGGCCCCTAAAACACGCAGCAGCAGCAGCAGCAACAACAACAAAAACAGCAACAACAATGACACAACAGAAGCGCAATCCGGCATGGTACCAGTACTTCTTGTCACGAGTACTGCTGCTGGATTCCGTTTGCTGGTGTTACTGCTACTGGAGTTCCCTCTGCTGCTGCTGCTGGTGGTGGTGGTGTCCATGCTGCTGGTAGTTGTTACCTGAGAATCCTTCTGTGATGGTAGCGAGTTTCTTAAGGTCAACATCACCAGCAATTGGTGTTTTCTTTAAGTTTGCCTTTAATATACTTTCTCTACTCTTTAAATCAGGTAGAGGAATATATAAAAGTTGATCTAAACGACCGGGACGAGTAACAGCAGGATCTAAAATATCCGGCCTGCAGTTCAGGTGTACGCGGGCACCACAAATGTAGTATACACATCCATACTTGCCGGTGGTGCACTCGTTGCTGCTACTGCTGCTGCTGCTCTAGGTCACCTGCTGCAGGTACTGCTATTGTTCCTCCTGCTGCTGCTGCTATTGCTGCTGCTGCTGACCTGTTGGTTGCGCCAATGATGAAGATTTGTTTTTGTTTTCCGATTCCGTCGATTTCTGTTAAAATTTGATTTATTACGCGATCAGACGCTTCGCTCCCAGAACCACCTGCACAGATACAGCAAAACCCTAAACCCTAAACCGCAAAGCCTAATCCCCAAACCCTGAATGATTCGTCTTTGTAAGTACAAATGACCTATGAAGGCTGCAATTAACATCTGTGTTGCCTTCTGTCTACTCAGCTAAAGTGCGTTGTGCATAAGTTGTCTCTGTCAAGTGATCTTATTGCTTCTATGTCTTTTTCTGTGTTATGCCTATTTGTTCCCCTGTCTCTGTCTTTGTCTCTCTTCGCTGCATTGTGTTTGTCTCCATCTGTCCCTGTCCGTGTTTTAACTGCCTCATGTGCTGCTGTCTCTGTCTGCCCAGCTTCTGTTGCTTCCTGCTGTTGCTTCTACTGCTCCTGCTGCTGTACCTCCGCCACTGCCTCTCTTCTTGGCGATGGAGTCGATTTCATCGAAGAAGATGATGCAGGGTGCCGCAGCTCTGCGCCACACAGGAGACACAAAAAGACACAAGGAGACAATATGAGACACAAGGAGAGTATAAGAGGCAATCAGAGACAATAATACACAAAGGGGGGCAGAATACGACAGAAGGAGACAATATGAAACAGCGCAGCTGCCTCCTACAGAGCAGTATCAGTAATACCGTTCTGCAGCAATGCAACACAGATATAATCAGCAACCACAGTAGCAGCAGCAAGCCTTACCTCGCTCTGTCGAAGAGGTCGCGCACGTTGGCCTCCGACTCGCCAAACCACATCGTCAGCAACTCAGGGCCTTTCACCTGCAGAAGCAGCAGCAAGAGCAGCAGCAGCCAGACGAGCCTCCAATAAGCTAGTTGGCGAGCAAGCTGCCTGCGTATAAAGGAGAGGTGAAGACAGATCGGCTTGCCTCACGCTGGTTTGCACTACTATAACAGAAACAAAAGTAACATTAGCAAACAACTAATAAAAGGAAACAATAAAACAAGTAATAAAGCAAAAAAATAGTATGACAAAAAATAACAGAATAACAAAGAATATAAGAACAAAAACAACAAAAGAGGAAAAAAAAAACACAATCGGCAAGAAGAAGACTATGATAGAAAGCAGAAGGAGAGACCAATGCTGAGTGTATAAAATAAGTGTTTATATATAAATTAGTGTTTAGGGTTTACAGATATAAAGTTTGCTTTGCACTCATTAGCAACAGCTTTAGCTAAGAGGGTTTTGCCACAGCCTGGCGGCCCATAGAACAAAACCCCTCGAGAGGGTTGGAGGCCAAACTCTTGAAATAAACTGCCATATTCTACAGGATATTGAACTGAGACACACAGCAGCAGCAGCAGCAGCAGCAAATGCAGCAGGTGAGCAACACCAAATGCAAGAGGAAGTGCAAGAGTAACAGGAATTGTAGGGCATCCATGGCATGCAGCAGAAGTGGCGAAAACGAGAGAAAATACGTGCAAATAGAAACAGCAGCAGCAGCATCAATGGAGCAAAGTCTGATACTGGTGCTGCTGCTGCGATTGCTGCAGTCGTGCTGCAACGAGTTTGCGTGCGGGTGTACGGGTATCTCCTCTTTCTTTACCTGTCTCCCTTAGTTCTCTTTTAACATCTTCAAGACCACCAATATCTGACCAACGTACTGTTGGCACTTCTACGTGTCTCTCTCTTAATGCACTAGGGTTTACTGTAGCAAGAGCAGCACGGAAATGCTCCTGTCCTACCTCCAACCGCTGCAGCACCTGCAACACCAGCAGCAGCAGCAGCAAAGACAGCAATGGTAACAGCAGCAAAGATAGTAACATCACCAAAGACAGCAGCAGCAGTACAGTCATTACCAGGTGCAGTAAAGACATCACCAGAAACAGCAGCAGCAGCGACAGCAGCAGAGACGGCAGCAGAAGCCTGCGTAGTTTAATGTAATATTACCTCAGGCTGAATGGTATCTTTATCAAAGTCAATATGTTGCAACTGCTGCCTTAGACACTGTAGCGCTGCTTCAAGACAGAGTTGCTCTAAGTCTGCCCCTACGAAGCCATGAGCATCTGCTGCTATTTGCTGCAGATTAACATCTGATTTTAATCGCATGCGTCTTGTCTTTTTTTTTAATATCTCTAAACGCCCAACATCATCAGGTATGGGGATTTCTATTTCTCTATCAAACCGACCAAATCTATAAAAAAGACACAAAATAACCAGAAGCGCAAGCAGCATATATGACTGCAGCAGCAGCAGCAGCAACGGCAGAAGTAGAAGCAGCAGCGAACACGTCTCTACCAGTAAGGCAAGCAGCAAAATGGACACCGACAAGGATAGAGGCAACAGCAGCAACAACTGCAACAATAGCAGAAAGAACAGCAGCATCAGCTTACCTTCTAAGAGCGGGGTCGAGTTGGTTGGGGCGATTTGTAGCGGCCAAGACAACAACATTTTTATTTGCTCCAATACCGTCCATCAGCGTCAGCAACTGCAGCAGCAGCAACAGTAGTAGCAGTAGCAATAACCGTAGCTAGTTAGAATGGGCTCAAGAGAGAGACAAGGCATATTGCTTGCATGCATGCACCGATTCACGCATATATGAATGCAATAATGCATGCATGCATGCATACATACATAAGTACAATAATGCATGCACTAATGCATGCACTAATGCATGCACTAACGCATGCACATACCTGTGCAACAAGTCTTTTTTCTATATCTCCTTGTGTTTTATCTCTTTTAGTGGCGATGGAATCGATCTCATCAATAAAAAGGAGACAAGGAGACAAAGAAGATGCTTCTTCAAATACTCTTCTTAAATTTGCTTCTGTCTCCCCTGCCATACGCGACTAAGTATAGCATATAACACACACAAAATACTCACTCCTCCTGTTGCTGCTGCTGCTTATGATGCTGCTGCTGTTGGTGCTGCTGCTGGTTGTGGTGCTGCTGTTGCTGCTGATAGAGACATCCAGATAGAGAGACATATCAAGAAAAAGGGAGACAGAGAAACAAGGAGACACCATAAAAGGAGACAACTAATCTTACCATGATCTCTGGTCCGTTTACAACAAGGAAGTTTGCCCCACACTCTGTAGCGACGGCCTTCGCTAACAAAGTCTTCCCTACACCTGATGAACCATGAAGTAGTACACCGCGAGGTGTTGATATACCTATCTGCACACATAAATATATATAATATATATGTATGTATATAGGCATATATATACATATATGTATACTATATATAGTATTATATAGAGTGTATATAGTAGTAACAATAGCAGAAACCACAGCAGCAGTACAGCAGCAACAATAACAGCAACATTTATGTACGCGCACATATATTCACAGACTTGTACGTCTCTACCATCCCCCGTAAAACGATAACCCCTTAAACCCTAAACCCTAAACCATAAAACCCTTGAAGAGTTACTTGTTTAAATACATCAGGGAAGCGGAGAGGTAATTCAACAAACTCTCGCAAAAGTTGAACTTCTTTCTTGAGGCCCCCTAAATCATCGTATGTTACTTCACTAGCGGAGTCAAATGCGTCTGCATACAAACCCTAAACCCTAAACCCTAAACCCTTAAGCATTTCCCCTAAGCCCGATACCCTGGAAGAGGAGCTCCGGAAGGAGGACAGACACATAACCAGCACCAGCATCAACAGCAGCAAGAGGAAACGAGTGTCTTCTGACCTCTATCGAGTCCCTCTTGCCCCACGACTTTTGCTGTGTGTTCCCCTACAAGGGCATATTCCAAGTCATCTGTTTCTTCTCCATCTAAACGCATAACTTTTACTTCAATCTCTTCTGCTTTTAAACCCTCGGGGCCCCCCTTGTGCGAGTTCCCCCGCAAGGGTGCTCCCCCACTCTCAGCACCAACACCCTCTCCTCTACCTCCTGGTAGATACACCTGGATCTTAAATTGATCACCAACACGTATTGGTCTGGGCCTAGAGCTAAAGAAATCTTCTACTGCATGCAATACTGCCTCCCATGCTTGGGGGCCCCCTGGGGGGCCCCCACCTTTCTCAGTGGCCCCCCTGGCGCCCCCAGTAGAAGATGCAGAGGCCCCGAAGAAAGGGAAGGAATCACTAAAGAGCTGCACATACACCCGAGAGGCCATTTGCAGTGTATTAAGCCTGCTGATTAATAGAAGATCTCCTTCACATAGCTTTAATTGTGAATGCAATCTAGAGTGTACAGACACCTCATCTTCTCCTAACTCCTCATCTTCTATTAAAACCCCAACACTTTTTCTTTTTCTTCTTCCCTGCAGCAAGAGTGGGGCCCCAGGCTGCAGCTGCAGCAAACGCGCTCTCTTGGGGTGTATGTAAACCGCAGCAACATCAGAAGCATGGGGGGGCGCCATAGTCAATAGGCTAGGGGGCCTCGCATGTCCTTTTGAAGAGGGCCCCCCTAGGGGCCCCCCTTTTCCCCCTGATGCTGCTGCTCCTCTATTCGAGCTACCAAAGAGGCCCCCTCCTCTTAGGGCTCCCAACCACCGAGAGGGGCTCTGGGGACGGGGGGGCCCCCCAGAGGCTGAAAGAGGCAGAAGCACCAAAGAGGTGCCTTTTCCTGCTGCCCCTGAAGAAGGAAGCAACGAGAGGGTCCACACTGGAGATGCCGTCAGCACCAGCAGCAGCAGCAGCAGCTGCAGCAACCCCACCCGTAAACACATACATCCAGGTACAGGAAGAGACCGGGGGAACCCCATGGGGGCCCCCGATCCTTGTTTTCTATGGTACATGAAAAACCCTTGGCAACTCCCAAACCCTAAACCCTAAACCCTAAATCTTTGACCAATGCCAAGAAGGCAGCCAACTGGCACCTCCAAGGACAAAACACAGCCCAGGCTTGCCAGCAGCACATGCAGCATGAAACACAGCAGCAGCAGCACCAGCTGCTTTTTTCAGTTCCTGCAGCAAGGGGAATAACAGCGGCAACAGCCTTTGATGATACTGTGTGGGGTGGCTGCGGCAACGTCTCTTCCTAGCTGCTGCTGCTGCTGCCGCTGCTGTTGAGGGGCCCCTTTTGCTGCTTGTGTCTTTTAAAAGAAAACAAAGGCACAGAGAAAGAAACAGATAAAGACAAAGGGTTTTCCCGCTTCAACAAATTGGAGGACCCCTGCTGTCTCGGGGCCCCCAGAGACAGCGAGGGAAGACGCGGCCTCTGCTAAAGAACTGCCGAAGAAACCCTCTCTAATCCGTATTAAACCCTACACCCTACACCCTAATCAAATATTATTTCTAAAGACAACACAAAACAAACACAAACCCTCTGTGGGGCCCGCTGCAGCTCCGTTCTTAACAGATGCGGTGGGGCCCCCAGTCCCCTGGGGGGCCCCCAGGGTCATGGGGGCCCCTCGGGTTGTTAATACTCAATCAGTTTATCTTTGTAGTCTTCTGAGGGTCTTCTTCTATTTAATATATTTTCGTTTGCTTCAATTTGCTTATGGGGGCCCCCAAGACACCATCTCGGGGGAGCTGGGGCCCCCCTAACCTCTCTTACCCTTCTATCAACCACCCATGTACGAGTCGAGGCCCCTAAGCATACGAAGGGGCCCCTGGGGGCCTATGGGGGCCCCCGTCTTCGTGCAACAAATCCATGAGTACCCTGATGCAGGCTGCGGTACCATCTAGAGGCACTCTCGGCCGCCTTCCAGCCCTCAAGGGGGCCCCTTGGGGGGCCCCAAGCATAGGGGCCCCTATTGGGGCCCCTCGCAAAAGGGCCCCTTTCGAGGCCTCTAAATGGTGGGCCCCAAGAGGAGCCCGTCGGTTTGTTTCCTTGGGCAATTTTAGGGCGTATGAAGGGTTTTCGGGTGAATGGACAGGAGCTCGTCGTCACCTCTCCAAGAATCCTCCAGGGGCCCCTTTAAGCACATCTGTAGGGCCCCCCCCCTCTACGGGGCCCATTGGGGCCCCCGGGGGCCCCTCATCCCACACCAACGGGGCCCCCGGGGGCCCCTCGGTCGAAATCCGGCATATTGTTGCTGCAGCAGACGCAGCAACGGCAAGGGGATGCCCCTGTTGCCCTCTCTTTTGGGCACAGACAGCCGCAGCAGCCGCTGCTGCGAGTTTTCAACTAACATGGGAATTGGCGGCCCCCGGGGCCCCCAGGGGGGGACCCCGACTGGAGGCCCCGCCCCCACATGTTGCGTTACCTTTCTTACGACCGCTTTTACGGGCGACAGCAAGGCTGTCTGTAGCCATAAGAACTGCAGCATTAGCAACAGAGGCTGCCCCTGCTCCTGCTACTTCTGCTGTTGACATGGGGATTTCGGTTGGGGTGGCCGGTGGGGGCAACAGCATTATCACCTCTAATGAGACGTGGGCCCCCACGTGTGGAGAGTGCCAGGGGCTTCCCCAGGGGACCATTACGGTGTCTTCTTTGCTTGAGATGCTGCTGCTGTGTGAGCAAATGCTTTGGGGCCTCCTGGAAGCCCTTCGGTGTTCCCTAAGGGGCCTCAGCCGGCACCAGGGGGCCCCCCAGGGGCCCCCTGGGGGGCCCCCTCTGTCCTTCAGAGAGATTGCCGCTATCGCAGGGATTTTTAGGTGTCTTGCACCAGCACTGCAGCAGCTTCAAGGAATAGAAGCTACTGGAGGGGGCCCCCCTGAGGGGCCCTTAAGGGAATACGAAACGACAAGGAGACGACTTGTTCTTCGAGGGGACCCTGCTTCTGCCTTTACAGCAGCAGCAGGGGATCCCTCGGGCACCCCTCCTGAGAGGCCCCCTACCATAGCGGCGTGGGCCCAAGAGCTGCATGGGTTGTATAGGGAGGTGGTGGGTGCGGTGTTGCTGCATGCATTGGGGGCTCCCCAGCGCCCTCGTTTGCCGCCGGGGGCCCTCAGCTTTGGTTTATTTTGGGGGCCTCTAGATAGAGAGAAGAAGGGGGGGGCCCCCACAGGCCTCTCAGATTCTTCAGGTTTGCTGCTGAGGGCCTCTATTCCTTTAGCGAGTTTGCTGCATATTCTTGCTGCATTTCAGCAGGGTCCGGAAACGCGTTTGAGGGCCCCCCTCGGGCGGGGACCTCCATCGGACCTAGGAAGAGAGGGCCCCCCCGCAGCACGAGAGCCCTTACCTTCCTCAAGGGCCCCCAGGGCCCTCCTTCAGCTTCTTGAAAGAATCATATGGGATACCCAAGGAGACTGGGGGTGCTCACCGGGGTCCCCAATACTGCGGAAGGGGTGTTTGCCTGCTGTTGCTGCTGCTGCAGATATGCAGCAGCAGCGACAGCTGCTGCAACAGTGGCAGGAGCAGCAGCACGACGATGCAGCTACGACAGAAGTTGAGCGGCTAGTGTTTGCTGCTGCAGTGCTGGCAGATGCTCGTGCCGAAGGGGGCCCCCCTAAAGGGACCCAGGGCCCTTTCTTCCTGGTGCGGCTGAAGGAGCAGCTTGAGGGATCCCTTAGGGTTTAGGGTTTAGGGTTTCGGACTGAGGGATTAAAACTTTGGGTTTAGAGGTTGCACTTCACCTTCTAGGGTTGAGGGTTGAGGGTTTAGCGTTTAGGGTTTAGGGTTTTGTGTGTGTTGCTGCAGGCTTTGTCCCTTGTCAGTGATGCTCTGCTGCAGCGCATTGATGCATTTCTAACAACAACTCCGCAGGCACTGGTTGTTTCATGTGGGGGCCATGCTGCAGACCTTCTAGGGGGGCCACCCCCTCCCCCTCTATTCCCAGAGGCTACGCTGCGGGCTGTGCTTCCTGGGGGCCCCTTGGGGCCCCCAGGGGCCCCAGGGCATGCAGCAATTTGCCTGTTGCCGCTGCTGCTGCTGCAGTCGTTTGCACGCGCGAGCTTTGTACACGACAGCCTTGTTGCAGCAATATGCCACTACCTAGTGAGGCCTCTGGGGGGGCCCCCAACGGTGAGCTGTTCTGTAGGAGGTGGAAGGGGGCCCCCACGGGGTTGTCTGGGGACGGTAGGAGTTACTGAAGGGGATTCCCTGGCGGCTGAGGGTTTAGCTGTGGGGGGCCCTCCTCCAGCAGCAAGTCGACGGGGCCCGCACTCCTTCTGTTTATTAGACCTGTGGCCATCTACTGCTATTTGCTCTCTTGCAGATGCATTAAGGGTACTGGAAGCCCCCCACCCTCCTTTCTGGCGTTTCCTCTTCTCGCATTACATGCCCCCAGAGGGCCCCCCAAACAGTCTTCACGGGGGGCGCTCGTTAAATTGCAGCAATAAGAGCACCAACCACAACCACAATCGCAACCGCAGCCGCAGCCGCAGCAGCAGCAGCAGCCACCGCAGCCGCAGCAGCTTCCCCGCACCCATTGCTGCAGCAGCTGCTGCTGCTACGGCAACAGCAGCACAAAGATCTATGACTGAGGCAGCAGAAGCAGCCTGCGCTCTAGTACCCTGTGAATTGGAGGGTAAGGAAGCCCCTTGGGGGCCCCTATTAGAAACGTGGGACTCCGCTGTAGGGTGGACAATACGGTCTACTAAGAGACAGCGGCGCCTCTTGCGTTTGCTGCTGCTGCAGGGCCCCCCCAACTTGAGGGGTCCCCAGGCCTTTAGGCATGCATTCGTTCGAGGTTTCTCGCGCTGCAGCAGGCGGGAGCTACTGCAGCTTCTTGTTGCAGTAGCAACTTCAGGGGCCCCCCCACCGAGTCCTGAGTGGCTGCAGCACCTGATTATGCTGCTGGTGCAGCACAGGGGAAGCTGTGCCAGTCAGCTGCGAGCAGCAGGAGCAGCAACAGAAGCAGCATCAACGGCAGATGCAGCAATGATAGATGCAGAAACAACAGCAACAGCAGCAGCAACAGCAGCAATTGATGCAGAAGGGATTGATTTAGCTATGTTGGGGTTTGCCTTGCCTTATTTCCCACCCCTTTCGATGCTGCCAATCTTTCCGTTTCCTACAAATAAAAAGAGAGGCAACAGGGGGCCCCCTTTAGTGTTTCCTCAGGGTCCCTCTGAAGGAGAGGTCCCCCAAGGGTACCAAGAAGGAAGGGGCCATCAACGGCCCCTAGAAAGGGCGTCCCCCACAGCCTCTGGCAATTCTTGTTGTTCGTTTTCTTCTCAGTTGCCTCTTTGGGGCCCCCTTACCTCTGCTTCCCTTAGCAAAGTCCCTGTGGCTGCGCTACCGAGCCTCCTCTTGGGGCTGGTGTTGCATGCCCCTCCCCCTCAGCAGCAGTTGCAGCAACGGGCAGCAGGCAAAGCCCTTACCGACAGCAGCAGCAGCAGCAGCAGCAACAGCAACAGCAACAACAACAGCAGCAGCAGCAGCAGGGCCACAAGATGTGTGGTGGACGGTCCCCGCCTTCAGTGGGGGTCTCTACAGGTTCTTGCTGGAGTCCTTGAGGAGACAGCTGGGGGTCTGCTGGCCCTCTGGCTGCACCAATACTCCCCACAACACCTGAAGGGGGCCCCCCTTGCTGCAGCCTTCGGCATCAGATGCAGCAGAGCCAAGGAAGGGGACTGTCCCTTCAACACAGGAAAGGGCTCTCCCCACCACCAGGGGCCGCCAGATAAGGCCTTCACAGGGATGGCAGCAGCAAGGCTATGCAGACAGTCTTTAAGTGCTGCTCTCTCCCTTGTTCTTCTCACAAAGGTCATTACTGTCGATGCAGCAGCAGCAAGCGCAGCAGCAGCAACAGCAGGTGGTGGTATGAAGACACGAAATGCGCAACAGCACCAACAGCAAGGAGAGCAACACCTGCTGCAGCCGCTGCAGAAACGAGTCAACGGGCGCCGTCGCGTGCTGTTGTTGCGGAGGCAGAGGCCCCCTTATTTGTCTCATTTCTGTCTCCTGCAGCTGCTGCCTCTCCGCATGCTGCGTCACCTGCTGCTGCTGCTGATGCTGTCTGCAGAACCGCTTCTCTGGGGGGCCCCAGAGGGGCCCCTGGTGCAGCAGATGGAAGCCCTCTTAGCGCAGCTACACCAGGAGCAGCAGCAGCACCTCCCCCTACAGCACAAGGAAGGCCCTTTACTAGCGCCAAATGTAACGCAGTGCAAAGAGGATGTAGCAGCAGCAAGAAATAACGAATCGCTGCTGCTGCTGCAGCAACCCCTGGGGCCCTTAAGAACCTTGAACGGTCTTCTGCACTCGGTGCAGCACCAGGAGCAGCAGCTGCAGAAGGAGCCTGTGGGACGGCAGAAACTACAGCAGCAGCAGAAGCTTGTGGTAGGGGGCCCTTCCTCTTCTGAGTTCCAGCGCGAAGTTGCAGCAGTTGTACAGGGCCTCAGCAGCAGCATCAGCAGCACTACTCTAAGTACTAACTTGGCACGAGAAGTTGCTGCGGGGCCCTACTACATAGACATTGTTTTAGGGGCACCGGAGAACTTGACAGGCAAAACCTAAACCCTAAACCCTAAACTAGACCTTACACTATAAACCCTAAACCCTAAGTACGCAGAACCATTTGCTGTATGTTTTTTAATTCGCCAAATGATGAGAGAATTTGTTAAAAGGGTACCCTTAAATGAACAGGGGGGCCCCCAAGGGAACAAAGGGGCCCCCGACGGAACAAGAAGGGGGCCCCTCCTCGTCCTCTCAATAGGCGGGGAACAATTGAAATATAAATATAATACAAACGTAGAGATTATCTATAGTAAAAATTAATAGTATATACATAAATATAAATAAAAGTATATAATATAAATATGAATAAATAATATATAAATATATAAATTAATAATACGTATATATTGGCGGTACCGCTATATACATATATTACATATTATATGTATACAAATATAGACAGACAGCATATGTATTTATATATATATATATAT